CGAGTGCCAAGATATTCAACGGCTTGGCCTTGTTTATGGTCTCGATGCATCCTCGATTTTCGACGCACAAGTTTGCTGGCCCTGCAATTGCAGGAGGAGGCTTTGTCTTTTCTGGCTCCATCGTAGCGCTTGTTCTGTGGAAGTGCGGCATCTCTCTTATACATAGTCAATGTCTGTGTTCTAATATCGCCATGCCATATCCAGATTGAAGTTCCTTGGACCTATCACTCCCTTGGGTGGTATATTTATGATTGCTGGGTAAGCCGAACAATACTTGCAGTACTTCCAGCACACGCTCATGCCGTCGTGTCCAACAGGTACATTACCCTGGCACTCTAGATCAGCTATTCCTTCAAGTTATTGCTTAGAATCATGATGTTCCCAAGCCTTGGCCTTTCTGTGAGCGATCGTACCACCCTGGTTTGTACGCCAGTAGATGATACTTCGGAAACATGACTACTTTTTCTCGTATCTTTTTCTTGTCGACAAATGTCCATACTCTCACTTCCAGTTGCGGTGTGAGTGTCGAAGTTTGCTTTTGAGCGTGGGGTGCTAGTAGGTTTGATTTAGTGCGCAATTCAAATCACCGGCTAGGGTTTCTTTGACTCTAGCCTTGTTATGCATCGTGTACTGCTGCGATACTTCCGAGTAGATGTGTCCTTTGTGGCGGAAACTCTTCAGGATAGTGGTGTGATCATACTGATACATGTCTCATCAACAGTATCGAAAAGGGGCACTGAGGTTTTGTTTCCACATCTCGTCAGTACTTAATTAATTAATCCTGTTTGCACGCCTGCTCCGGTTGAGTGCTGAGAAACGTTGTTCGCTTTGCGTAGTAACGCGAAATTCAGTGTCACGTGATGGACGCGTTGAGGATAGAAGAGAGACGTGTCAGCTCCGCTTAAAATGTGAGAAATAATCGTAGTGAGTACATCGTCACCCGGTCGACAGTTTTCGCAGCGACCCCTCCCGTGATATCCCCTACCAGCCCGCCCACTGTCACGCACGTCAAAATCTAATTATCTTAAGCGGTTTGAGACACCATCAAAAGTCTTTTTTACGCGTGAGTACTCGTTGCGTTGGGCAGGAAATATGTAGCGCTTAATAAGAGTAATCGGTACACATAGCCTAGCAGTCACCTGCCATGTCAGACACGCGACCTACTCTAAACACCTCGTTTTCATCTACTAGCACGTCATCTACGAACGCAACTCGCACCCTGAAGCGACGTTTGACGTCTACTTCGGACCTCCCTTTTTTCACGCCTGCCGCCGCATCATTTAAGCCAAAGCCATATACACCAAACGGCTCTTCAGTTCCTGTCCCGCCGCCGCCTAAATTACAGCCTTCTATGCGGACGCATTCAACGTCATCCTTAGTTCAACATATGCCTATGATGGATCCTTCCCTGTCTGACCCGAATATATTTTTTATTCATCCTCCGTTCGTTGCCTTTCCAAATGCTCACCTGTACCCTGAAGGCCTCTCCTACTCGCTGATGGCTGCGAATCCGGATTGGTTCTTAGATCAGAACGATTTTGTCAACGGGTTGTCTACCAATCCAGATGCAATCCCTTATCCTCCGCAGCTTGAACCGCCCAGAGGATGGTGTCCAGCCAAGAAAAAGGATCTCAAGGCTTTGGGCCCTGATGGCTGGCCCGAAGGTGAAGAGCCCAGGCTGCGTTGCACATTCTGCAGGAGAACGTATGCAGGGGTCAATGCAAAAAGTATGTGGAGGCGACACGTATATGAGAAACACAAGATTGCCATGTCGAATCGTCGTGAGGGACATGATCGTACTCGTGGTGGCCGCGGATCTGGCAGTAAGCTTATGCCCGAGAGTTGGCATTTCCTGATAACTAATTCTCATTTCAGGGGAACGAAATAACTATCACGATAAGGAAAATTATACTGATGATCATCGGGGTTCAAGGGGACCAGATAACAAATCCAGGAAGTCAAGAAACTTGTCCTCAAGGAATAGTATAACACCTACCCCAGACCCAGAGGATGATGACGATGCAGATGATGATGATTTCCCTGTACCCTCTGCGCCTGTCATTGAACAGAATGAGTTTCCTGCACTTTCGTCTCCTCCCGTCCTCAAACATGCAAAGCCATTGGACGAAGGAGTCACGCTAACAGATTCCTATAATTTGCGGGCAATTCAAATTGATGACTCGAGTGCATCCCCAAAAACATCAAGATTTGCTATCCCCATGTCTCCTTATGACCCGACATTGACACCATCGTTCCGCCATTCTCCACCGCGTCTTCCTTCAGACCAGCCCTGGCGCTTTCCGAGTCCAAGCCACCCCCTTCATTCTGGGGCTAGGGAGTTTTGCTTGTCGATGCTCGCGCGTGCGACTCCTGTAACGAAAGGTTCATCTGTTATCGATTCAAGCTCCCCAAGCACTGGTACGACGAGTGTCATGAATACTCCCTGCAGTACCACTTTCCGCGGAAAGACGCTCGGCGACCTTAGCAGCATATTCACCGAAGGAAGCTCTCCCATCATCTTTAGACCTTCACCACGCCACTTATTTTCTGATAATCGTTCGCCAGTGCCAGTCTTTACTCGCCTTGACTTCCGCAAACGCTTGAATGACTCCTCACTCGGCGGCAGTCTTCGTCGCAAGCTTGGTCATGACCGGAAAAAAACTGCCATGAACAATTCCTTTGACTTGCAGGGCGGCTGGCTTTCTGATAACTCGCTCACATCTTCGGTGAGCAGTGCAGCGATACCAAGCCCTGCCCGCTTAACCAGCGATGATCCCTTTGGGAGCCCGTTCAAGCCGCTTGGATCTACCTTGCGACACCCGCCCGAAAAGAGGGTCATATCGCCGCCTCTATCTAGTCCAGAGGCGGAAAGCCCAGTGATGAGACATTTCCGTCTACCGGACAATGAAACGTCAGAATCCAATGACGGTCTCGTTGGCCTAGGCATTGGGTTGATGGCACCGTTCGATCTTTCTACTTCAGCGGAGGAGAAGGATGAAGCGGAAGTCGAGGGAGTGTTAATTGATGTTGCGGATGATTTGGCACCACCATCAAAGAAACGCAGAGTGACGTTTGGTTAGCCTGAGTGATCTTGTTCGTTTGTTCTACCAGTTTTCGATCCGCTTTGCCTTTGTATGTCGTTATATCTGAATGGTTTCCGCTATTTATCAGCTCCAGAATTTTTCACTTGGCTTTGGCAATTGTTTCAGATTTGTACATGTACACCCGCCCAACCTACCTTACTTGTATACTGTTTTGCCTTGACATGTATTTGTTCCTACGGCCAGTGGCCGGGTTTCGCCCGGAGGGGGATCTCAAATCCACAACATGATTAATGTGATCACTACCCCAGCACCGAGATTTTACTTGGAAAGTACGTCGTTAACCGCTCCACCTAGCGTATTTATTACGCCATTGTGATGAACGAATGAAATACAGTACATTTGGTGCATGAGGATGTGAGAAAAAAGCGGAGATATGAACGAAATATTCCTAATTTAAGGTATTGTTGATCCATTTATTGTACGTTTGCGGAGAGGCACATCAAGGATATCAAGCAAGGACAGCCTAGTCGCACCGATTCCAGGTGCAAAGCATTCCCCCGTACATCCGTCGTCGGTCGTCTTGCCTCCTACCGTCTTTCAAAGTTAAAGGTATGTTTAAATCTGTGTCTTGAGCTGTGATGGCCTCTGTTTCAATTTGCTGACAGCCACAAACCACCCGGGCTTATCTCCTTGCGAAATTGGCAGGTCTATACAAGCACTCGCTTATTCTGCGGACACATTGCTTTCCTCGAGGGCTTCTCTTTCAGGCAACCAAGTAGGATTCAATCAGAATGCACAATATCAAATGTATGTCTTGCTTGTCTACTGTCGATATCAGCTAACACGACATTTAGGTGTTGTAGTCGGTGATGGTGCTGTTGGCAAGGCAAGTTCTCCTTCACATCGAGGCTCTAGCGTCGAGAGATTCATGAGTGATCCAGACGTGTCTTCTCATCTCTTATACCACAAATGCCTTTCCAGTGAGTTTTATGTGCTCTTGTGTTGGAGCAACGTTCAAGTTGTTTCATAGGGAGAATACGTGCCAACAGGTATGATCGGTGGGTGACCTGACAATGCTGCCGTCTCACTCAGTATCAGTATTCGACAACTACTCTGCAAATGTGATGGTCGACGGGAAAACCATTTCTCTCGGCCTATGGGATACCGCTGGACAAGAAGATTACGATCGTCTCCGTCCACTCTCCTACCCTCAGACAGATGTCTTTTTGATCTGTTTCTCGCTCGTCAGTCCACCTAGCTACGAGAACGTTAGAACCAAGGTGCGTCACTCTTCGTTCAAATACACTAACTGTTTTTGTTAACCGCAGTAATCCAGTGGTGGCCCGAGATTTCGCATCATGCACCATCTACTTCGGTGGTCTTGGTTGGCACTAAACTGGATTTGCGCGAAGATCCTGCTACCATCGAGAAACTCCGTGACCGGTAAGTTCTGGCATGCTACCCGAGACCTGTTCTTAATCCCAAATTACCCAGACGCATGCAGCCCATCCAGTACACGCAAGGAGTCTCGATGGCGAGGGACATTGGTGCTGTCAAGTATCTCGAATGCTCTGCGCTATCGCAAAAGGGCCTAAAGACCGTGTTTGATGAGGTTATCCGTGCTGTTTGTGAGCCTGCTTGTTGGTCCTCATCGCAGGACGTGTTTAACCAGACTTACAGTGAACCCTCCCCCGAAGGAAAAGAAGCGCAGTGGTCGTGGTTGTGTTATCGTATGAGAGTGGACTTGTTATTACCATGCTCATATAGATGGATTTTCTTTGTTTTATCATATCACGCCCATTTATGTTGTTGCTTCTGTTACGACCTATATGTTGCATCTGATGGGTTCTTAGTCATGATTGATATGCGGGAGCGTACTTAGTGCGAGTCTAAGTAAGATGTCGAGTGTAAATATTATGGTCCCGGATATGGTTGAGCGAGTTACTTTTGGGATTGTTTTAGGATTGACGTTGTCTGAGGTGGTTCTTCGACGTTTCAACACCTTTGGACCTGCACTTCTTCCATTGCTTCCACTAGTGGACCTTACTTATCAGTTGGTCCAAGTTTGCATGCTGTAATCACTCGCTATCATACTCTTTATCAAGTCCACGTTTCCAATCTTTATCGATGCCTAAAGCACCAGGTTCAGTCGGCTCGGGAACAGGCGGCGCTACTGTACTCAAGAGAAATCAGGTCCAAGACTTTTTTCTCTTTCCCTCCCCAAACACTCAAATCATCTTTTAGGCCTGCCATCAGTGCAGACGACGCAAATTGGTGAGTTTCAATATGTCATTTGAGACAGCATTCTGACCTATATCACTACAAGAAATGGTAAAGTCATGTCTAGATGAGAGCTGCCTTTGCTCAGATAATCATCCACCAGTGATGCCAGACGACCCTGCTCGACGTGTGTTCGCTCGCACAAGCATGCTCGCGACCATGCACAGCCCGGGGCAAACTTACCGGAAAGGCCGGAATGCACATTCGACGAAGGTACGCGTCATCGCTGGTAGATTGCTCTTGTGTTCAAATCTCAGATCAGTTGCAACAACGGAGACCCCATCTACTCCATCAGATAGTCCCAAGAACAGGTTTGAGCGATTGGAGACTCGGATAAGTACGTATATGGCTTGCTCAATTCGTAGAAACTCATCACCAAATTCTCGTCCTCAGAGGAGCTCGAGGCACTTTTAAGCCAAAAGGAGCAGGCAACATCCCCAGATGCTAATCCATCTAGCAGTTCGACTCTTTCGTCTATTCAGAATTCACCTGCTTCCATTCAATCTGTGCCATCAAATTCACGTCCTGGTTCGGCATCCACAATGAACTTCCCGAGCGACCTAGAGTCACTATTGTCACCATCTAATTTGGACATGAATGCTCAGACGGTTAACCCATACTTTTGGAATGGCAATTCACATCTCATTGAAGGTGCAAGCGCCAGGATCGATGCTCCCTTGCTTTCATCTAGCATGGGTACGTGTGGCGACCCCTCTTTCTTATAAATTTAGACTCCATTTCTCTTGGCAGACGTCATCTGGTCACATTGGCCTGTCAACCTCCCTCACCCAGAACTTATTCGTCATTTGTAAGTCGTTTCTCCGATCAATTTCTTCGGCTTATTGTTCGTACCAGGGTCGATATGTTCTTTTTGTTTCACCCGCACGCATCCCGCCTTTTCCACAGGGCTAACTTCATAGCTTCGCTATCATACCCGCCGGATCATCCTGATTTCCCCGTTGCACCTGTTCTACATGCCATATGCGCCGTCAGTGCCATCTACACTGCAGCTGGAGGACCCCGGACAAATGCTGCAGACTTTCCATGTAAAAACTTCATCTTTTAATTGTTCCAACGCCTATTTGGCTGACAATCACCTTTGTGGCAGACGAAGGACAATTTGCACAGCCGGACCTGCCTGATACATTTGCAGAGCAACAAGCAAGTCACGCTAAGGAAACGGTCGAGAAGTACTTGAACAGAGGTCAACACTTGGTGCAATGCGTGCAAAGTCAGTGAGTCTATGTGAGCGGCTGCGTAGTGACTAACTGTCTTTTAGCGTATGTTCTACTGACGTGGTATTATTGGTGTCACTCGAAGTCAGTTTATCTTCTATCGAATGTTCTCTTACTTACCAGCTTGTGGCAGATGGGTTGAGGTTGCTATGATTTACATGCCTTGTGAAATATCGCTAACTGCCTTTGATGCAGTTATTTACTTGCAGTGGCCAATCTTTGCGTGTTGCGATTCCGTTGGGACTTAACATTTGCCCTCCATTTCGTTCGTTACTTGGGAGCTCCCCAACAATGTCGATAATCTCGCCACCTCGCACTCCAATTGAGGACGAAATACGAAGAAATACCTTCTGGCTGGCGTACGCAGTTGATCGCCAGCATGGATCTGGCACTGGTTGGGCGCTCTCTCTTGATGATGACGACATCGCCCAAGTTTTCCCAGTCACAATGGAGCAGTTTGAGTTGGGGGTTAGTACAACACTTGCTTTTCTTCCTGCTAGCTGATAATCTACTCAGATACCTGTGAACTATAACGTGCGCCAGTGGTGTCACGTCAGAGAAGCGGTGCTTTTCCATCCCCCCGATATCACCGATTCCTTCACGTTATATATCAAGAGCACTATGCTTCTTTCTTTCGTCAAAAACTTCAACCACCGATACAGGATCAAATCGAATTTGGGAGACGCGAGATTCCTACCGGCAAGGAACTTTGCAACCCAGGTGTATGGAGATCAGCCAGATATTCGGTCATCCCCTGCCTTTCTGGAATTGGATCAGTTGCTCATGTCTTTCCGGTCATCGTTTCCGAGTAATCTGAAAGACCCATTCAGAAATGGACAGGTGGACACGCACTTATACACGACTTTCCTCACCGCACATGTGTGAGTTGTTGAATTTTTGTGACTACGCATCTAAGCTCATTGTCATACTTTCAGATCAATGATTTTACTTCATGAACCTCACGCCAGTTTAGAGAGGAATTGCACTTCCGCTGCCAAAATGCTCGAGAGTGCCCGTGCAATTCTTGAACTCATATATGCGATGTGGTCCACGAATTATGATATCGGGCTTTTGGACTATTTCTGCTCGGTATGTGATAGCTAACCTGAGGTCACTTATATCTCATCTATTTTGCTAGTTTTGCTGGTATCTTGCCGGTCAATGTTTTGGCCGTTTCCTCCGTGCTGCCCAGGAAGCTGCTTGTGTCCAACAAATAGACACCCTACGGGCAGAGCTCGACTTTGTAAGGTCAGTGGTGCGTTACGCATGGTGATTCCCTGAATAACAAACTCTTGGCTCAGGATGGCATTAAGCAAGATGGCCGAACGAGTTCCCCTCTCATGTACGTTATTCGGATGACTTTGCTTCCGGTACTCAATGTTATATTTTTAGACCGGTATCAGAGAATGTTGGATGCCGTGCATTTGAGTCTTGCGGACGGGAGACCAGTTTCTACTGTCAGCGATCAGCAGCTGCTTGCCAATGTCTCGCAGGCGAGCGCAAATCATCCCGACGTGGCATACTTCCTTAAGATAAATAACATAAATCCCCAGCCTTGACTTTTTCCCCACTTTTTTTTTGAAACCAGTTTGTCTCGTTATTAAGTTATCGCAATAAATAATGTATTGTAAAGTTTACCATGTTTTGCCTCTGTCCATGAAGTACTTTAGCAGCTACAGCTCCATGTACTTTCTTGTTTTTTTTTGAATCTTGATGTGATACAATTACGACAACGATCATGCGTTTCACTGTGTATGTAATTCGTTTAATGACCTTTGGACGTCCTGCCTGGCCAGACAAGCCTGGACGAACAATAGACTATCGATGTCGAACACTCTTCCTGCATTGGCATCAAGCTCCGAAGAAGTGCAGGAGTTGCCTGCTCTGAATTTCTTAGGTCCGCCCGGAACATATTCCCATCAAGCGGCGTTTGACGTTTTTGGTGATTCTGTCCGTTATGTCGCAAAGCAGACCATCACTAGTAAGTCGGTCTTCTCCTGGTCAATCATATCTGTAATGATCTATGGGATTCTCTAGGTGTCTTCGAGTCTTTATCGCCCGAGCTGCCCTTTGGTATCATACCCCAAGAAAATAGTACCAATGGGTCGGTGATCGAAACTTACAACCTACTCCGATGCGAATCCGCCGGTCGAGATAGTTTTGTGAGAGGGGAGACAAACCTATCGATCAAACACTCCCTGGTAGTTCGGAAAAATGTCAAAATCGAGGACATCGAACATGTTTTCAGCCACGAACAAGTGAGATCACATACGTCTCCCTTCTTGTATATAACACATCTTGATGCATCACTGCAGGCTTTAGGCCAATGTAAGGCGTTTTTGAAAGGACACCTTCCAAGAGCGTCGCTTGTGCCGACAGACTCGACTGCGAGCGCTGCTCGTGCATTGCTCAACGCACCGTCCGAGAGCTTTGACCCCTTCAAGAGTGCAGCGATCTGTTCAACGGTCGTGACTTCGCTGTTTCCTGGCCTGGAAGTGTTGCACACTGGCATCCAAGATGGAGAGTGTATGTGATGTTTATGATGCATCGCAGAAATGAGCTAAGATTTTGCAGCCAACATGACGCGCTTTTATATCGTATCCTATGGCGCCGACGCTCGGGTCCCATGGCAAACGCCACCCATCTACCAGAAGCGTGCTCTGATCCGTCTCTTACCTGACAGAGACTCTTTGGCATGGGATTTTTCCCGGGCGATCAAGGCACTCAACATACCCATCTCCCGCATAGACCGACGACCATCCCTATCTTCAGCCACCTTCCATGATGTATACTTTCTTGAAGTGTTTGCCGAAGGGGGAGAAGAAAGTGATATTACCTGGTTCGATCGTGTGAACCAGGCTGTCGAAAGATTAAGGCAAGGGGGTCTGGAATCCACAATTCTGGGCATATGGTAGTACAGATATTCGTGTAGGCCAGAATTACAAGTATATTCGTTTCATGCAAGGTCTACTTGCGCAATATCGTGTCATAATAAATTTTCGAAATCCATCCGTTAAGCACGCGAAGCCGAGAAACAGGAGAGCCTGAAGTTCACAATCTAGACCTCCCACCGATGCACATAGTTCAGGAGGCAGTACCCTTGATTAATTCATCGGCTCTTTCCGAACGAGGTATAAAGCGACATTTGAAGGGCTTGGGTCGGCTTATCGTGAATGTAAATAACTCATCTTCTGAAGGTAACGAGATGACACACCTTATCATGGAGGATGTGTATGCAACTTCAGGTACTATCTCGAGGCCATTCTCATCAATGCCTCTCTCGATCGAGTACACGGATAGAATGCACGCAATGGAAAACCAAATAGTTTCGTAAGCTAGCCAGCGTCCAGGGCACATCCTGAACGAAGTGAATACTTTTGGCTAAATGAAAGTGGTTTGGTAACAAACCGTCGTCCGAACCCGAAGGCTGGCCAAGGAAGCTTGTTGATACCAAGGTCATCGTTCTTCTTCTGGTCTGAGAAACGCTCAGGACTGAAAATTAACGGATCCGGGTAAACATTGGCGTCATGAAGGATTGCCCTATAAATTATGTATAAGTTTCATTATTTTTCATTTCATCGATGTTTGACTTACCAAACGTTGGGCAAGATCGAGGTGCCGTTTGGAATAAAATAACCGTTGTATTCATCATCTGAAGTTACAAGGCGAGCCAACCCCATAGGGAGTACTGGATTCCATCGCAGACATTCCCAAACAACGCAGTCAATAAATGGCAGTTTAGATCTATCAGCAAACGTTGGCAGGCGGTCCATGGCAAGAATGTCATCAAGTTCTTGCTGCGCTCGTGTCTGCACTTCGGGATGAACTAGCATCGCCAGAACGAAGGAAAGCAAGGTAGACACTGTCTGCAAATTCGAATAAGTGACGACCAAAGAACTTATGAATATTTGCAACGAACCGTATCCGCGCCAGCTGAGATTGAGTTAGAACATGTCCAAGTGCAATGAAAAGAATTACCAACCTGCATAGGAGATACCTGCCACGTTTTTAATTATGGTCTCATAGTCAGGATCCGAATTTACATCCTGTTCTAACTTCTCTAGTTCCTTTTGTGCAAAACACGGAATAGCAGTGCCGTTCGCCATGCGTTCCCTGACTGCCTGAAATGGTCGGTCGATCATGTTCTTCGTCATTGTGCGCCATATCAACGCTTGACGCTTGAAATGTGCGCCGGGCATGCGTGCAGGAACGTATTTTACTGCAGGCATGGATGCTAGTCAGTACTATTGATCATGGCTCGTGGAACCGACTTACAAAATGGAAGATAATCTACCAGAAATGAGCCAAAGATGCCTGCCATACCAAGACCCTGCATCGCTTCGTCTGCCAATGTGACGTAAATGTCACCTTTGTCTGAAACCTCATGTCCGTACGAGATTTTCATAACGATAGCCGCGGCTGTTCGGCGCAAGTGGTGAGCAAAATCATCCGGTGAATGGGCTAAATTTCGGAGAGTTGTATAAGTCTCCTTAGTGACGACCGAGTAATAATCCGACGTCAGCAGCCTGTGAAAGTGACGACGGAAGAGGGATCTGTCTGAGGGGCGAAAATTCGCTTTTACATGCCTGTTATAATAGACCACGTACGCTGTTTCCACCTCGGCCCGTACGGCATTGACGAAAAGAGCCAATCCCATCCCATCCTACGGCTTTCAGCCACGTATCAGTGATCGATTCACAGCAGTACTTACAGTTCGACCACCATAGTTCTGACAGGCCTGTGTTCTTTCATGATTACCCAAGAGACAGATCAAGTCGCAGAACGACTTGCCTTGAAGAATATTTTTTGCTCCGCCTTTCAAAAAGTTCCTCTGCTGCCTGTGCCGAGTTAACGACAATGATGGGGTTGCCCAGAACGTAGATATAGATGATGTCGCCTGTCAACGTTGTGGGTAGATAAGTTATTTGATAGACATGTTCCATGTGCCCTACCGTATAATTCTTTCCACTTGGCATAATGAAGCCACTGATAGCTGGACGGCAAATTAAGATTGCCAAACCAACCTGTGGGAGGACCAGGCGGTAGGGGCCTCTTCGCGGCAACTGTGGCAAGTAAAGTGCGTGGTAGGAACCATGCGAGTGCGAAGAGGGCCAGAAAAAATGTGGAAAGATCAGCGAGGGGGAGGCTGAATGACGACGGCATCATATTCTATGATGGAAGGGAAGATAGGCTGACGAGGCAGACGTGAGGATACGAATTGCCTCGCCAGCTGGTATTTTATCTCGGTGTGACGATCTGATCATTAGAGTTCTATGCAACCCTTAATAACTACGTACAGTTGACGTACAGATTAGGCGAAGCATTGCCCCTGATAAACCCCGTGACGTGTCGCTTCTTCTTTGCACCGCTTTCAACTTGTCAATAATGGCCACTAACCCATTAGCTGGCCCATCAGCCCTCAAGGATATCGTCCATCCTCAGTTCCACCAGAACAACTTTCCAGAAGAACTCTATGTAAAAAATGAACTTGGTCTCAAGCTCGACAAAGGTAACTCTCTTCGGTTTTTAATACCATCTCTTCCACTCACAGGTTCTTTCAAGACGATCAAATATGTCGTCTGTCCTTGACCCCAACTGGATGTCCATTGGGACCACTCCACTGTCCTTTACGTCATACAACGCCCTCTTCACAGAACTTTCAGCCCCCAAAGCAGTTACCCACACATCCTCGCGAACGAGAACGTTTAGCTACAGTCTGTAAACATTGGCTACGTGGTTTGTGTAAAAAGGGCGATGCGTGCGAGTTCTTGCATGAGTACAATCTCAGGCGGATGCCAGAGTGTTGGTGGTATGCAAAGTACGGTTATTGCTCAGCAGGAGATGAATGCCTCTATGCTCATCCCAAGGAACGCCGTGTTGAATGTCCTGATTACAAACGCGGGTTCTGCAAACTAGGTGTGTGCCTCTGTCAACTCGTCACGTCGGATCTATTAATCGTATGGTATTGCACGTAGGACCAACATGCCCTCGCAAGCATGTTCGCCGTGTCGCCTGTCAACTCTACCTAACCGGTTTGTGCCCCCTAGGTCCAGACTGCCCTCGTGGCCAGTGCGTGTAATCTATACTCATTCTTCTTGCTTGACTTCTTTGTCATTCCTAGTCCGAAACCTGACTTACCGCCACCAAAATCATACGAACCTCCATCACCGCCTTCAAATCGTGACCTTGGCCCGCCGCCACCAGGATATGGTCGGTATGCTGATTTCGATCGGGGAGCCATGGGTCCGCAGGCGACGTCGCACAGTGGAGGACCGAACGGTAGTGGACCACCTCGTAGAAATCTCGATGAAGTGCTGTGTTTCAAGGTTTGTTTCTATGCGTTTATTTTTAGAGGAAAATATTCATCATGCCCAGTGCGGAGAAAAGGGGCATTATGCCAATCACTGCAGGAATCGTAATGTACCAGGCAATCGCGGTGGTTTAGATCGTGCCAAGAGGTTCGGCATGGAAGATTGATACCAGGCACCCATTGCCTCGTGAATGTACTTTGTTGTGCCTCGGAATGAACCTGTCACCTTGAGAGAAACGACACACATATGTGCAAGCGTCACCAACTACACGAAGTGGCGACTTCCGTCACTCCAGGTACCTGCTGATCAGTGCACCTGAAATAATTCCCTTTTTCTAACAAGGTTCAGACCTTCCTCCTGCCGATGCCTAACCATGTCAAGTACGCCTGGGAGGGGCCATCTTATTTTCGTTGAAATGCAGCATTATACATACAAGTACTAGCACCGAGAAGCATCTTGGCCAGGCCGGAACAAAATCCATATGCGGGATATGAACAAATGTCGTGATATATCATGTCAAAGAGAGTTTCTCCAAGGTAGCCCCATAAATAAGTTGTGCGATTTAAAGCGTCCTCAACTAAGATTTAAGTTCAAGGTGTCATAAACTCCATGCGGCCCGTAGCGCCGAAACTGTCGTGCACTACTGTTTTATACTAGTATCTGGTACGGAAACGCTCTGATCACTAAATGATTAGGACTGCTGCAAGTGCATGTGCATGAGAGCTTGACAGACCATTCGCATTAATGTTTTGGTGTTAGCGATCCTAATTTGGTGGCTTATGTCATTGTTTGGCTGGCGACAACGGGGACCAACTTACAATTATGTAAATATTCGAAGCAAATAGTCTGATTAGGCTTGAATATTTGAATTAGAGCGTACTCCCACCGTTTGCCCCTCGCCTCCGAGCCCATTAAACTCTAGTAGCACAGTTCGGATGTCTCTTGTAGCCACGTTAAATGCTGATTCTATCTGGTTTGCTCATACGCCTTCCCAAGCTAACGCTCGGTCCAGCCCAACCTCATAGATTGTGTCATTGACTCTAGGGCCAGCCGAAGCTAGACTCTTGTAGCCACGTCAAATGCTGATCCTATCTGGTTTGCTCATGCACCTGCGTGTCATATGAAATAACCCAAGTGCGCTGTCAACTCTCACTCTCCGCACAGCTACCGCTTTGGCTGCCACGGTACTACCTATCCTCCGCACGCATCAAGAGAGACATCGAGGTGACTGAGGATTGCTATTGATGCAGTAGTAAGATACTACCTGTAACCTAGGGGGACTTCAATGGGTTGCAAATACAAAAGGCATTTGGCAACCTGTCAGGGCGGATTGAATGGATGGCGTTAACCAGAAGGTCGTTCTCGTGTATGTCTGAAGAAACTTGTGAGAAGCTGGAGTCTAGGTTGCTGTGAAGGGTGTTTAACATGACTCTGAGAATCGCTGGAATCCAGAAACGAGTACAGACAACATGTACTACACAGATCGTGGAATGTTTGTGCGGAAAATTAACGGGTCAAGGGAAAAATGGCGGCCGCCCTCCGTGACGATGACATAAGCTTCAAGTTTGTCACTTTCAAATTCCCAAAGGTCTGTCTGAGTTGTGCATGCGAATCCTGACCGGGACCTTTCTTTTGCTGTTTCCATACGATGGGCTGGCAGAAAACCTTTTCGCTTTCACAAAGATCCAAGGGATGTCATCTTGTCACGGATGAGGTTTACGCCCATATCACACCAGGTATCAAGGACGTGAAGGTACGACTAGTACTATTCACTTGATTCGGTCATTCCAACACCGGATCACATCTTGCACAGGTTGGGATGCTCTTCCTCTTCATGTGAGTGTAGCGTAGCCTGTATTTCGGAAATTATCAAACACTGTCAGCCAACACACGTCAGCCGCGCTGACGATCAATGAAAATTATGATCGAGGTCGGTTCTCAGTGAAGTACGAAGTCTATGAGTTAGTGCTCACCATGTTCGATGCTCCAGACTGTTCGCAAAGGAGAGACATCATGAAGCAGTAGAAGACGACCATGTTGGCTGAACAATTCAACAGATATGGACATGGCTCTGGATAACATCGTTCCCGAGAGTCTTAACTGGATGCACACGGACGAAGGCCCAGAGTAATTATTTCACGTTCACCAGTGCTTATTGATAATTAGACTCATGTGCGTGTGGCCTACAGTGACTCGTACGTCGCTTTATTGAATTTTAAAGGTGCTCTTTCACCAATGTAAATCCTGTTCTTTTAGCGTATCTCACACGAAGACATCCTTGATCGGTGCTACTATCTCGATCCCAATTACCGATGGCCGTCTGAACCTCGGCACCTGGCAAGGTCAAGACTCTTGCATCTGCAGAGTTCACTTAATTATTCACATCCGTTCATGTTCTAGGGATCTACTTGACCGAATTCAGACACGCAGCACATTCTAGGCGGATCGTTGCCACAGTTTTGTAAGCGAATTATATATCCTCGGGGTATTTTTAGCATTAGCTGACTTAAAAGATCAGATCATAAGTTGTTGGCAACATATATATGGAGCAATTGCAGATATTCCACAGTGATTATAAAGACCTATCGCACTAGATCCTGGTTACATACGTGCTTTTTTATCCCTTGTGGGTGATTTGGACAAACTTCGATTGGCTCAAATCGAAAGACTGCCTAAACCGATTGGAATCTATTATGATCTACATAGTCACGCGAGCTGACACCACGACGGTTCCATTGTTCCATTGAACATGAGGTTGGTGCGCCTCGCCTCCTGCGGGAACTTGCGCAGTCATGATTTTGCTCACCATTCGATATTAACGTGAGTAAGATTTTTGAATACAGCAAAAGATCGTACATCCCGTTGTTCGCGCGATAAATTTCCCTTCGGCACACATCATGTAACGCCCGCGCGAAGACGGCCAATTACAATCATTTCAGTCATCATTTGTCACTGTACCGATGCCGGCTCGCTAGAAGTTCTTCGAAGTGGGAGAGATCCTGTACTTCTTACGGTGGCACTCAGCCAAAAACGCTCTAGGGTGACGGGGCTAGCCACAGGAGTGCCGTTATGTACGCTTCAAGCATTGCTTGCCAGGAAGAAATGAGTGCCCCAAAACGCGTAACCCCTGTCATACATATTGACCCGACGCAAGATATACGTATTGTTGCCGATTCTTCCAAGGCTACCCAATTAAAGACTGGGTGGTTCCCAGTTGTCATCGCTTCTTTGCTTGCCTTGTGGCACGCATGTTCTTTCATTCCCTCGTACTGTTTCTTTTCTGCGGTGGACTCGGACTGCCGCAATGCTATTGCCAGTGCATCATTGATACCATCATGATGTCTTCTCCAACGATCTAACCCATCAGCAAGCTCATCACGGTCCACTACGTTCCTCATCAAATGTCACCTTGACGATATGATCATTTTTCTTCAGTGCTCACGCTCTCCCACGTCGAGTTATCTTTTTTTATTTTATACCGAGCTTCAGTATGACACCAGCAATGAAGTACCTCCGTGAGCGCTCCGAGTTGAAAGGAAATAATTGAACTTAATAGTAGAGGGCAGAGTCAATAATTGAAACCCTCCGTCTGGAATGGACCGAGTTGTGGGAACAGCCGGGGAAAGCCCCGCGGGTGACTTTCAGTAGGCAAATTATTCCTTTTGGAAAGGCACCGCTTCTTCGACAGTCCTGGCACTATGCTGTGTGCGTGTACTCACCAGTGTCGACGGCCTGTACACAGGATCCGGAACACACTTATAACAGCTATCAGCACCTGCAGGCATGAACGTTACATTAACGCACTTAATGTTACTATGAGTTAAAATGTATGTTTGCCTGCCATCGTTCGAGTAGGTGACGTACAATCTACAAAGAACGTTTCAGCCTCTTGCTTACCGGTTACATTCTTGAACCTCCTTGTACCTGAGATTATTAAAGGTCCGCGAGGCCGCTCACCCAAATAGTTCATGTAGTAGGAATATTTCAATGATGGTATCTCCATGATGCAAGTGCGAACTCATCGTCGACTATTGCACATTTGAATACTCACTCACTCCGAGCAGTTTGCTTATATTTCCCAACCACCGAAAAAGCAGAACTACTCGCTCCCCACCCACTACACCTTGACACAACCACAAACTCGGGTATCACTACCATTCGAGCACTAGTAATACATTAAGCACCAATATCATCAACTAGTGACTAATGCCGAAGGCAACCCCAGGCGCTAGCGCAACAAATCGCCCTGCACTTCGTAGGAACCAGGTAAGCACACGCCAATCTTTCCGTACTTAAAGTGGAATCTCTGCTATCCTTCAAAGGCTTGTCGGCCATGTCGAAAGAGAAAACTCGTGAGTTTATGATCGGCCGCCCTCGCTTGCCAAAGGTTGAACTCGGACCTCTAGAAATGTGATGCCGCCCGTCCCCACTGTGGCACATGTGTGAAGTGCGTACAATAGCTCTCGGTGTTCGGTACCAAGATAGCCTGACATGGCGGACATAAGGCAATGGCAGTCCCTCATAAGTGTGCCTGCACCGCCCGACTACGCGTAAGTTCTCTACGAATACATGTGGCTCGTGATGTTCACATCTAGATCTCAGGCACCCTGCAGAACCGCAGTGCGTTTATGATCCAGTAGATGGTCTCGCTTTGGCACCAGATACAAATCCTCTCGAAAAAATTCGGCTTCTGGAAGAAGAAGTTTGTACGTTGCATAGCCTACTCAACTATATGTCGGCTGAATCGCTTCCAGCGAAATTGAAGACTCAACTTCAAGAGCAACGAAACAATGGTCCGTCAGGACCATCTCAGCAACTACTACGCCATCTCGGTCAGTTCCGCCCTGGATCAGCATCGTCTTCCTTGAATCATGAATTCGGAAGTCCTGCCACTAGTTCTGTTCAAACACCGTCACTTCCTTACCCAAAAGACCTTATAATTCCAGGTCATATGGACGATTCTGATCCCCGTAACAACAGCAATAGTCCAGAACTTTACGAGGTTCGGCACAAGAGTTCCACTGACACCATTCTTGAAATAATATACTCCGGCTGGAATCCCGATCTCCCTGAGCGCAGTGTTTTAGGAGCACTAGTGAGGTTTGATGCTCTGTCTATCGCGTTCACTAAGGTTTCCATAGTATAGATGTGTTTTTCAAGTGCGATCCTTGTGGTCCTCGTATCCTTCATCGCCCATCCTTTCTTGCAGCCGTACGTCTGGATCCTAGGGATCCTTCCTTTCCACACTCGGCCATACTCCATGCAATAGTGAATCTGTCACTAATTTTAATCTTGGATCTCACTGACAGTAGTGGTAGTGTGCGTCAGCTTCCAGGTGGTCCTCCCGCAATGTGGCAATTTTGCCCGACGGCACGAGACGTGATGAATTTGCGGAGTTCCACGCAAGTAAAACTCGACAGTATATTGACAAAACCATGGCCACTGGCCAAGATATCTTTCCCGTCGTTCAGGCGTGCATCCTGCTTGCTTGGTATTTCTATCAAGAAGGACGATGGGTTGAGATTTGGATTTTTGCAGGATTCCAGACTCGCGTTGCCATACCTCTGCGGTTAAATTATCCAGGAACATTCTCGACTCACAACAGTGGATTACCGGGTGGGTATCTTGCTCCCCCGAGGGACCTCATAGATCTGGAGTCACGTCGTCGCACCTGGTGGACAACAATCATCTTTGACCGTATAGTGTCGGTCGGTGGATGGATCCATGCAATTGATGAGAGGGACATGGGGACCGAGCTTCCTCTCCGAGGGGAGGACTTTGACTCAGAGGTAAGCATTAGTTATCGTTTGTTTGAGAGCTCATAACGGCTCCGTGTTGACCTCACCCTTAGCAATTAATGCCTAGCAATCCTCAAGGCATGTGTACGGAAGACGTCTTTACCACACATTTGCCGAAATACACCGATTCGTTTCTACTCCTGATCAAGGCGATCATGGTGTTTGGTCGTGTCACAGACTTCAATGTCCGAGGAAACTTGCGTGCTCCGACTGCGCCTAGCAAGTTCCAAGACCCTTTCGAATTACCTGGCTTTGCGGATCTCGATCGACTTGTCTACAATGACTTCCTAGCTAACCTCCCAACCATGTTCAAAATGATGAGCGCTAACGATCTGCCTGGTAATCATGGCTCAGTGGACACAGACTTATATATGGTCCATATTATACCGTACGCGTAAGTGCTTTTGCCCTGCCTTCCTCTCGTGAATCCTCACATATCAACTTTTAGGGCTACGATTACACTTCATAACCCTTATTTTGACCTAACCGACTTGAATCGCATATCCACAAGTCGATGTATCAATGCAGCAAGAGCCATTCTTTCAGCCTACTTCAAGTTATCCGAGACTTCTTTGGATATATCACGATTGCACCCATTTGTCGTAGTGAGTTTTTGAGTTGTTCCGATCAGAAGTCATTCATTGTCTATCGCAGATCTGTTGGTACCTTGCCGCAGTCGTTCAAGTTCAGGTCTGCAAACACTTCATAGAAGTAGGGGATGAGGCAAGAGAAGACCAGGTATGGGGAGAAATCAACGTCTTGCGGTACGCTCTCGTTTGAAACCTCGTAGAACCTCCATTGATTGGTATGACAGACGAGCAATGATCAACTACGGAGTGAGATCTCCCATAGGTAGTACGTATATTTCTTTTATCAAAGGCTTCTCATTCACGATGGTGCAGCTCGCCAAGAGAAGTTATTGCAAGGCCTTATGAGAGAAATAGTACGATTGACAAGCCAGAAGCAGCCATTGGAGGTGGGGCTACCCCTGTATCCATTCTCTCATACCACATTGTTTGCGACGCCAACATTACCTGAAAATGCTCAGATGGCACCTCTGCCAAATCCCTCCATGTTACACTCAATGGAGTATGATTCCCCGATATTCATACGTGATTCGGGCTCACTAGATTCATACGGTCGCCCCGCTGAAAATTCACCTCCTATCCTCCCCAGCTGGTCCCCCCACGAGCTACAGCAGCCACTCCCTTCCGAGAGCGGAATAGTGCGATGGAATCACCGCATATGAGTTTACATCTCTTCATCTCGAACCATTACTTATACTGTTGACTGCCTTGGACTGTGCGTATATCCACTTATAATGCATTGAATTATTGGTAGCTGGTTCTCATTACGTATCGAAAGAAATGTCTCGTCGGTACATTAGCATCATACAAATTCGCGGAAGTCCTGTGATTGTCCTTTCCTTCTTTCGGCCTCCAGCATAGCGTCAAACTTGGCTTGCTCTCCTGTTCGATCATCCATTCCAGACGACGGTGGGTCGTTACTCGGCGATGATGTTGGGTATGGGAATCTATTCCGTTCATGACGTTGTCGGATAGTGTCCCATGAAGATACATAACCAGCAGAACGTGCGTTCGCTGCACGTATCTCTTCCCAACGATTTTTTGGTTGAGTTGCTTGGGGTGAAGGGGCTGCGAAAATGTCAGAGTGACATATAGCAGAACCAACACGGTTACTCGCCATCAGAATGAGGTAAAGATGCCCCCCAATTCTCCTCACTGACCATCTCCGGGCCATGCTCTTGACTAGTCCCGGAAGTAGTAGTGTTGTCCAAACGTGCAGCATCCTCTCGTATTCGTGACAGCGTGAAGCCCAACTGCCCATCGCCGCCAAGTCTGCGGTCAACATTGCGTAACGCTTCTATAAAGCCTGCGGGGTTTTCCAGAGCTTCTGTAAACTGTCTGTGGGCCAAGACTTGTCTGACCCCGCCAAAAACCAATCCTATGGCGGTTGCAGCGCCCGAGCCCCATGCAAGCTTTGCGTGGGACCACCTGGGACGCGCCATGGAGTACCCATAACCGAGGGTAGCGCCTGCAGCCCCGACCCCATATATCGCCTGTTCGTAAGGATGCGCGGTCAAATATGAACATGATACCGGAACAACAGACGAACAGGCCAGTGTCTGTGCCCCCCAGGCAGGAATCTGGTTGCTAGTTCAAAATCATGCTTTGTGATGACGCCCTTCTCTAACTCTGGCTGTAAGAGTTCGACGGCGCGTGACCGCGAGGAGAAGGTGGTTTTGAGCCACTGCTGGGGATATGACATCGTTGATACTAATAGTATTGGTGTCAAGGTGGTAATTATTATTGGATTTTAAAATTAGTTAGTTATGTAAAATATTTGGAAACAAGAACCTTGAGTATTTACCAAGTCGTTTACCGTCGGTTTTCTCAAATGGTCGATATCAACGCTCTGTATAGTCACCAGTATGTTACCGTGGTCAGTGATGATCCTGCGTGTTTTTTCCCCGTTTCACATCCCTTCCTGCCCGCGTTTATTGTCTGAATCATATAGGCAGCTCTCCAACTCCCTTCAGTCTTTGTTCCAAAGAAGCGTACCCATCCTGAATCTGTCAAATGCCTTCTGTTGCTGCAGTGTTGCACTTCTGTCGCTTATGCACCAAGTTGGATGCTGCACTTAACGGGGCTTCGTCTGCTCGTTATATTTCTTTTATCAAACATCTGTCACCCTCTGTCACCATCTCGTCTGTGCGTCATCTCGAGCTACTGTATGGTATGGAGAGGTTGTCATGGCTGCTCTCGTCGACCGTATAATGACCGCCTTGCTGACCAGGCCCTATCTCGAACCACGCACCAGGCCATTCCCTGAACCATGAACTAGTCCGACCGGCTCTCGAGTGTATCAAACAGGATCGAGGTCCATGACTGAGCGGGGCTGCCAGAGGCCTCTTCATGAAGCCTGCCAGGAAGGTGACGAAGGTCAAAGGGAAGTGAAAGGCCGATGGACCTGCAGGACATCCATCGCCTGCGAAGAATAGGGCAGGCTAGAGTAACTTACTCTGAGTAATGCCGCCTGAGGCAGCAAGTTTGCTTCCATTTCTTGGTATTGGCGGTCAAATCATCGTGTCTATCTATCTATCTAGTGGTATACTTCGTCTTCATTCATTGCGTTTGCCAGTGCGAGTGCTGGAGTTGGTCTTGATTTTGATTCTTGAAGGTAGTTTTCCCCCATTGTCCTAGTTCTTGTGTGGATAATCAGCAGTTACACTGCGATAATCTGCGTACTCAACGAGGTCGTTGTTCGTACGGCGCTATACCCTGAGTATTGCTTGAACCCCACAGTTTTTGCTTGCCTCAGAACATATGTGATGAACGGCTGAATGATTGTCTCCCAAAAGCGGAGTCAGGGTTGCGGGTGCGTAATCGCCGGTACCCATTTGTGGTTGTAATACTAATTCAACACATTCGAAGTTCCACCAAGGCCGGGCCAGGCTAATGGTCATGTTATCTTATCTTTGATACTTGAGTTCACGGAAATGAGAGGCTGGATGCGGCCCTTGCTCGTTTTCTTAGTTGGTCCAGTTGATAATGCCGCCTGTTCACCCTCAGATACTCGGTAAGTTAGAACATTCTCAGAAGGTACTCGAGACAACGCCATCAGGACATCCAACTCCTGCTAAACTCCCATCTCGCAATCCAACCCGCTCCTTCTGGATTGATTCTTCCCCGGATGCCAATCCGCTCGCTGGCCAAGGCAGCCAAGATCCTCTGCCTAGCGAGGCAGACATCTGCATCATCGGGGCTGGTTTCACTGGCTGTCGGCGTCGCGTACCATCTTATCGAACTCTTGAATAATGCCTCGCTTTCTATCAAACACCCGCTCAGTATCGTGATACTCGAGGCGAGAGATTTCTGTCATGTCTGTCTCTGCTGATTATGAGTTTTTTGTACAGTACTGACGTATTCCAGGCTCAGGAGCGACCGGTGCGTGGAGCCCCGTGTGTTTCTTGAGATTCTCGTGCAGAAAAGAACGTTTACAGGAAGAAATGGTGGACATCTTACACCGGCCGCGTTCACCAGGTTTGCTCAACGTCAGGCATTATTTGATACGGTCGAGGCAATTAAGTCATATGAACTGGAGCAACATACCACTTCTCTACTCGTCAAGATCATAGAGGAGAATGGCTGGGCGAGCGACGTCGACCTCGTAGAAGGTGGACACATAAGTCTCTTATTCACGGAGAAGGAAGCAAAAAACGCGCACAATGACTTCGATATGGCACGTCAAGCACAGCTCAATCTAGATGGTGTGGAATGGCTCTCGAAGGAGGAACTCGAGAAGGTGTCTGTTCTCGCTAGTCATAACCTTCCTAGTCTGATTCAACCTTCTCATTACTAGGAATATGGCGTCCCTTACCCAGGATTCCGCAGGCCAGGGTATAATGTGTGGCCGCTAAAACTCGTCACAAAGTTGTACCAGCACGCTCAAGCACACGCTAGGCAATACGCCTCCCTCAGCTTGCATACTCGGACGCCGGTGACTGCAGTCACGCATGAAACGACTTCCACCTATACAGTCGTGACGAACTGGGGTAGCATATCGTGCTCCCGTATCGTCCATGCTACGAATGGATATGCCTCTCACCTCCTTCCTTTCCTCGCGAGTCCAGATGGAATTATACCCGCTCGAGGACAAGTAATGACCACCCGTGCTTCTGTCGGTACTGATCAAATCAAGATATCGAGCTGGAGTGGAAACAAAGTAAGCCACTCCATCCTAGCACGTCTTTTCGTGGCCAATCTCTCTTTTAGGGGTTTGCATACTGGTTCCCCCGACCCGTAACACGCGACACCGAAAAACCGTTGATCATCATCGGTGGTGGCCAGGAAGCTGCGGCACCCAGTCGTGAGCTATATGTGGATGATGACTCTGAAACGCACCCTCTCGTTGGGAAAGCGCTCCGCGAGTTCTTGCCATCTGTATTCGAAGGTAAATATGACCCTCATTCGGAGCCTGAGATGGAATGGGTAGGTGCTCTTTCTACGTGGGTGAGGACATCCCTGACGAAGGTTTAGACTGGCATCACGGGCTACACGAAGACGGGGGATCCATTTGTACGTCCAAGTAACTCTTGCAAGTACTGTTGCTGATGTACCCCTCGCCAGGTTGGTGCCGTAGCAGACTTACTCGCAGCCAATCCAGATAGAGACCTGTACAAGAAACAGTACATCGCCGCAGGATATACTGGTCATGGAATGCCGCGCGCATTCGGTTGGTAAGTCTTACATTGTGTGGCTGAACTGTCTCGGGCTCAATTCATACATGACATGGTTTCTAGTGCCGAAGTTATCGCGCAAATGATTCTAGCTGAGATTTCTGATAAAGAGTGGAAGGAACCCGATTGGCTTCCACAACGTTATCTGACATGGAATAGACGAGTCGAGTAAGGTCTTATGGAGCACGAAGCACGAAGCTGGAAAGACCAGATGCGGGTTTGATTGTACGGGTTCATCACGTGACTTCTCTGTAGTTAGCTTGTGTAAAATATTTGGAAAACAAATTGTATGTTCTGGTTGTTGATGGAAATGTTCTCATATCAAAAATTGATTGAAATAATAGTCGTGCACGTTATCCTCGCGACTGTCGGTCACCTCTTTTATTGAATTACAGATCCGCCAAGCTTAAGCTTGCCTACAGGACTGATGCTCTAATCCCAGCCACTTAGAATCTCTCGCTCTATCAACAATGTCCGGTTCCATTGGTGTCCAATACAGACCTTTAGGTCGTGATCTAAAGTTACCTCCTCTACCACCAGATTCAGATTCACATGTATCACCACCGCCACCTCCCAAGAATATCGGCCTTGTACTAGATACTCACCTTGATGACAACGGTCCTCAACTACCTCCAATACCAAGCCTGGCATCTCTAGGTAACGCATCTTTTTCGCCCTGATTTCGTTCTAGGTACATATTCACACCGGCCACCAGGATTTGACTCGCCCAAATCTCCCGCAATAGCAGTTGGACCAATTGTCTCATCAATGTCTCCTACATCCCCTACCTCCCAAATAGAAAAGACGAAGAAATCTAGTCCTTTGACCGATCTTATCGAGAGCGAGAAGATTTATGTGGAGTACTTGACTGGCATAATACGAGTGCGTTCCCGAATTCATCACAGACTTGTCAAATTCATTGTTTCTGTAGAGGGTAGCCGCAGCATGGTCACGGTCCAATTTGCCACCACCAGAGCTCGATGTCATGTTTCGCAGCATTGAGAGTGTCTATAAGACAAATCGCACACTCCTCGCGGTAGGTAATGCATTTTCACGTGTACGATGTGGCTAACACGTGCATAGAAACTGAAAGAAATCGGCGCCAATCCATCCTCACCCAAAGCTCTGGGTGACCTCTTGATGCGATGGGTGAGAGTTTAGCACTAGGCAGACTTTCCTGCATTCTGAATGTGCTCCAAAGATTGATGACCTTGACCGACCTTACACGACGTACTGTCAGAAATTCTCTACTGGTTTTGATCAATGGGAGCCTGTCAAGTCAAATATGAAGCTTCCAGGCGTTCTCGAGGCGTTCTCTACGGCTAGCCCTCCCTCAATAGCTGCAATCCAGTCCTCTCAGCTAGCCGACCCATCGTTATGGACCTTGGATGCCCTATTTCTGTTGCCTAAGGGTCGTCTTTTATATTACAGGAAATTATACAACAGACTGCTAAGGAGCACCGTACCGGGCAGGAGCGACCATCGATTATTGACAGGTGCTCTTGAAAAGTTAGACGATCTATTGGAGACTTTGGACGGAAGATGTCAGGTCAAGGTTGGCCACAGTCCTCCCGCTTCCTCCGTCGCACTGCCGCCTGCCACATCTAACGAGAAGGCTGGGCCTATCGCTTCTCCAGCGATGTCTCCAGTGACAGATTTTGATGCAACGCACGACCAGCTACTTTCAGGTCAATTTGGGAGAGGAAATGTCAGCGCAGCTACATCCGTTCGTGGAAGCGGTTCGTCAAGCGGGTGAGCACGGACAATGATGTTATGCCGTCCATCATGTTGACATCAATTAGAGAACGATTTTCCCGGGAGACGGGGATGACATCCATTAGTCGTAACTCCACAGCAGCCATGCCTACATCCATCGCTAACCTGGAGAAACGATTGGCGACGGATATGACACTCGACATATTTACCATGGAGCCCAAGGTTCGTACATTCCCATGATGTGTCGTGGTGATCGCTGATCGCTGATTGCTTTACTTTAGCTCGTTCGTCTGCAAATGTCTCCGCCAACGTTGCCTTATGCTAGAGAACTTAAATTGTCGGCCAATGTTGTCGTCCATTTTACTCCTCGTTCGACAGGCGTGAACGTTGTTCACCAGCACGGCTTTGTCTTTATTCTATCAGATCTATTCTTGATATGTGAGGAGATGTCCTTGGACGACAGGATTGCAGCGGGTGTCGACGGTCCTGATATGCAGCTTTGCTACCCTCCACTTTCTGGAAAAGTCCTGAAGGTGACCGAGGTACCTGATCAAGGTGCGTAACGTGATCATCACACCGAATAAAATCTTAAAATATTGGCAGATAACGTACTTCAGATTTCCATCATGCGGAAAGAGACGCTGATCCTTGAGGCCATTTCAATGCAATCCCGTGACGAGATCATCAAGGAATTCAAAGAGTGTATCGATTTTGCAAGGACCAGTATGTGCATGTACCTCTGATTGCAACATCCCCTGCTGACATCTTGAGAAGTGTCTGGAATTGCTTCAGAACCAGTTCCCCCTTTGCCTAAAGGCCCCCCTGTATTACCAGTTGCTGATCTTCCTCTTGCAAATGAGGGATTTCCTTCGCGTGAGCAGGCTAATGACACTCAACAGGGTGTTCCACGGGAGCAGGTTGCCAGTTCTAGTGTGTTGAATGGAAGACCTGAGCTTCCTGAGCTCTCCTCTGCACCTAACTTCTCGAGGCCTCGCATCACATCACAACAGAATTTTGCCCCTCGCAAAACAAGCTTAGGACAATTTGCTCCAAGGCAAGTCGTGGGGGGGAATGGGAACATCAATCTTAGCGAAGCTGTTGCTATACCCCAGACGCAAAATTTCCAAGGCGAACAGAGGACGCCGTCATTGCAGGATGCTCCTTCTGGTGTCCCTCACCCTATGCGCAAGCCATCTGCTGGTCAAGGAGCTTCTACACATTCGCCACCTTCCTCCTTCGGTCTGGGTCAGGTCATGCCACCAGCTCGGAGTGCAAGCACGACCAGCTCTTCGCATCCCTTCCCTGATCAGGACCCCGGCATGGGAGGGGCACCTCATAGAGTGCACTCTCCTCCTACTGCTCAAGGATACCCACAACAACAACCCTTAAATCATCAATCGTCAGTCAATTCATCACGTCACACCTCGACGCAGTCTCTTCACCATCAACCGCCTCTCAATCATCAACCGTCTCTCAATCACCAGTACCCGTCAATTCATCAACATCTTCGCCCTCCACAAAGCGCACCCCCCCAAGCTCAATCTATGAACTTTTCTCAACAACCCCATCACGCTCAGCCATTTCCTTCTCGGTCTACGGGTCCTGGAGGTCCTCCTCATGGACTTCCTCCCCCTCGACCACCGTCTGAGCCGCAGCCGTCCTCCGGGAGACTCCATAAGTCAGCATCATCGCGGTCCCTCCGCTCTCAGTATGACTATACCCCAGGTCCAGGTCAAGCACCACCACTTCCTTCCTTACCTGGAGGGCTGCCGATACCATCACGACCTTATGGCCAACGTACAGATTCTATTAGTTCTGTGGGCAGCGGCAATAATGCTTCGATAAGACCCATCCTACCATCGCAGCAGATCAGTTCTAGAGCAAACTCGTTCACCGAATCAATATTCCACGATAATAGTCCTCCAACTTCACCGATTGAAGAGCGAAAGCCTCTGGGTCCAGCCAAGCCCACGATAACGGAAATGAAGTGCAGGGTCTTCCACCAGCAACAGCACGCGCAATGGAAGTCATTGGGCTCTGCGCGACTGACTCTCTATCATCAGCAGCCAACTAATGTCAAGCAACTCGTTGTCGAAGCGGGCTCAAAAGACAAGAAGAACATCCTCATCTCGACGATAGTGCTTACGGATGGCGTGGAACGAGTGGGAAAGACTGGTGTTGCCATTGAACTCAGCGATGCCAAAGGTGCACGGACAGGCATCATCTATATGATCCAACTTCGGAATGAGCAGGCTGCTCAAGAACTTTTTGATAAATTACTTGCAGGGTCGGACAGGTCGAAATAATTAGAGATATCATAAGTCGTTCCACTGGACCAGGGTCCGTGTGCCTATTCCCGTGTTCTCTTCATCCCTCCGTTTATCATACCAGGTTTTCTTTTACTTCTTCATCCCATTTACCAATGCTGGTTGGGATCCATTCCATTTGAAATACCCTAGACAGGTTATGCCATATACCTCCTCGACGTTGTAATCTATCATGATAAAAGGAGTTCTGCACAAAGAGAGACGTGATCACTTCCGCAAACGCCAATCTGAGGAAGACCTGCTTCCATGTCAGTGGTACGATGTGGGTTGAGGTAGCCTGCAACATTGATGCTGTGTTTGGGTGTGTCTACGAAGAAAATGTAGTCTAACAACATCAGATTCAGCAAGCGAAGGGGGACGGAAGAGACGAAGAAACCTAGCGTCGTCTTCCAGTAGTTTGTGTAACTAGTCCACATTGGTTCATGAGCTCCGAGTCTGGTCGGGGGCAAAGAGACTCGATCGCCAAATGTGTACAAATCACCTGGGGTGCCGTTGTCTCTCTGTGTCCTTTGACCTTCATCATATGCGCTCCGAAGCTTGGCACCATTGATGAAGAGTGATGTCAATTCAAGGTCGGACAGCAGTCCGTCTGATGAAGTGGCTACTCTGGAGTTATTGATGACCCTATCTGGATCAGCCTCTGAGCCATCTCCCTCTTCATCGTCTGCCTTCTTGGCAGTTGATACTATAGTGGGATCGATGGTTATATGAATTACACGAGACATATGCAAACACTGAGACTGGGCCTCAGTAAGCGAATCGCCGACGAGCAAGGAGTATGCCGGGTCATCGGGAGTGAAGTTGAAGTCTAGAATCACGAGGAAGTCAACACACAGTAATTCACTTCGAATTTAGCATGTTTACCGCCGGCGATGATGCAGGGCCAATGGTCAAGTTTCATAGACTGTCGGAAATGAAGGACTTCTCGAATGAGAATGCCGGCCTGCCTGTGAGCCAGCTCAGCGATATGTTCGACTGGCGAATGAACCGAAACACCTTGCCCTTTCGTACGTGAATCTGAAACAATAAACCAATATTAATGTGGGTTCAGTTGAAACATATAAATTGCACCAACGCAGGATGCCAAAACAGATGGGTGGTTGCGATGATGACACCTTGGTGATCGGCCCCGACTTCAGCTAATGCGACCATGAAACCGATATTTTTCGTAATGCGACTCGATCCGATACGTGTAGCGGGATGGGAAGAATCCTCATGCACTTCTTGCTTGTCGTACTCAATTATAAGTTCGTCCACTCGGCTGTATTTGTTCTGCTTGTAAGCAATAAGGCAGCCATGCTGCTTTCCAGGGCCTGCAGCATAAGCAAAGGAATACCCTGCTTGTTCTAGAGTAGAAGAAAGCTTTTCTAGGCGATCCACTTCCTGTGGGTGGCAGCACTCGGCATGGAAACTTGAACGTCTGAGATGGTTTGACGACTAACCTGCAAGCACATTATATCCGCAGAATGGGACAGAATCTCTGCATGTATCATAGGCTCCCTGTGAGAGGTTTTAAGGGCTTTTGAGCTTGTTGGAAATAGGTTCGAGCCTATCCTCGACCATCACTGAGCCTGAACACACACTGGGCGTGAACCAAACCACGCACGAATCAGACATTGAGCAAGAAGCTAAAGTATCGATGCATCATGGTTCCGAAATACAAGATGAAGATCCACAAACATTCCAGGACATGACCTTCATAGTGGACCGAGGTGCACTCTGAGTGCTTGGCAAAGATTTCCATAGCCTTGGAAGAAACATTGGAGGGAGATGAGCTTGATTCTGGGCATTCTGTTGCTGCAATTTCTTTGCTTCGCGCTGTCTACGTCGTTCCTGCCGCAAGAGCCAATTGCTCAGGCGTTGGCTTGTAATCAAACATACGCTTCGTCTCCATGAGTGGCCTTGAAGAACAGGCGCGAGAGAACGCAGGAGACAGCGTCATTTGTAGTCACATGCCAGTGTGTGAGCCTGAGCAGTATAAAATTGGACCCAAGTAAGTGCTGACGTAAAGAGCACTGTTCCGCTCAGAAAAATCTCGCATTGAGTGAATGCAGCGGCGACTGTTAACGGCGTCCCGGCTTTGTACAAGGGCTCTCTCTCGGAGACGCATCGGACTATCAAACCTATCGGTCCAACTGCAAACCGGCGCCAATCGCAAGCTCCCCTTCCTTTCCCCTTGCCGCTTCTTCCAATCATCCATCTCATCGATGCCACCTCAGTCTCTAAATGGTTCAGCTGCCCCGCACGATAACTTTGATGCTTATGGCAATTTCGACCTGATCAAACGTGTCAAGCTAGACTACACTGACGTCGTCGTATCAAGATGGCAGAGCCGTGTTACTGGTCTCACTATTGTGCATCTCGATTATGAAGGTATGCATCGTGTCATCTTGTTCGACCTAATCTTAATATTCTGGCTAGCGCCTATCGTCAACGGCTACTTCGTTGTGGGTACCGAAAGTCGGTGTCATTCCATCTTGTCACTGACGTCGGGGCTAACTTCGTGACAGTCTTCGATGACAGCGGCTGCCCGCACACTTTAGAGCAGTAAGTGGAGCGTCTAATGGATTTTCAAATGTAGCTTAATATTTTTGGAAGTCTCGTCTTCATGGGTTCGGAAAAATACCCATACAAAGGCATCATAGATCATTTTGCGAATCGCGGGTTTTCTCATGGAACCAATGCATGGACAGACACCGATCATACTGGTAAGTCTTTTCTGCAGTGCCGTATTCCTTCCTTCCATCGATCTTTTTCTCCCAGCGTATACCGCTTCAACTGCTGGAGAGCAGGGCTTCCTTCAACTTTTACCGATATATGTGGATCACATCCTCTATCCCACGATGACCAAGGCAGCCTTCTTGACTGAGGTCGGCAGTTTATCAAAGCTGTTGTTCGCGGACATACTGACACGCGCGCCGCGATTAGGTTCACCACATTAATGCAAAGGGCGAGAATAGTGGTGTTGTGTACAGTGAAATGCAGGGCCGCGAAAATACGTCGGGCGATCTTATGGGCCTACGGTTCGTTATTATGCTATACCATTGTTTTTACTGCTCATGTTCACCTTTCAGCTCACAACGTCTCTTGTACCCCCTTGGGAGTGCCTATCGTAGCGAAACCGGTGGACTCATGTCAGCACTTAGGGCACTCTCTGTCGAGCAAAGTGAATCAATCCCTCTTGGCGTCCATCCTTCACTAACGTCCTTCTGATCTTAGTCAGGGATTATCACGCCACTTACTATGTTCCGCATAATCTATCCTTGATCGTTACCGGAAAGCTTTCCACCGGAACAAAGTCTTTGTTGGCTGTAGTGCAGGACAAGGTTGAACCTAGTATTATTTCACATGGTCAAAACCATGGTCCCCGCCCGAGCGGTTGGAAACGACCCTTCTTAGAGACCGCTAGTGCCAACCGGTCTCCCATCAAGAAAATCACGAAGGAAACCGTCGAGTTTCCTGAGAAGGACGAGAGCCAGGGCGAACTTTTGATCATCTATACTGGTCCCTCGCCCAACGACTTCGTGGAGCGAAAAGTCTGTGGTCTTACAAACCTTCTGATTTGGAGCTTACAATCTCGCAGGCTTTAGACATTCTTGCTACATACCTTACATCATCGCCTGTTGCCCCTTTGAACAAGGAGTACATCGAAATCGAGTCACCGCTCTGGTGAGTATCTGGTTCATAATTCGGTGCGGTATTAGACTGACGACATTCCTTGTAAGTTCGTACATCTACTTTAGCGAAGACACTCGCGCGACAATGGTTGATCTACCGATCTATATTGGTTCAGTCCCTGTCGAAGCGTTGGATAATTTCGACGAGAAGCTTGTCGCAAGTTTCAAACAGATTGCCTTGGATGGTATAGATATGACGAGAATGTCCATGGTCATCAACCGGGATGAACGCCAGGTAGGTTGCCACCACCAGGTCGTGACCAAACATTGAAGTTATTGACGCCACCTAGCTTCGCAGCAAATTGGAGTCAGCTAAAGGCGACACCTTTTCAGGTGCCATCATAAGTGACTTCTTGTACGGTGCTGCGGATGGTTCGGACATGCACCCTGCCCTAGATGAAATCAATCATTATAGGACTTTACGGACATGGACTAGCTCACAATGGGTGGATCTCGTGCGCAAGTAAGTCATGATAGATGATGACCTCGACATAGCTCAACCACCATTAGATACATTATTGATCGCCCTTACGTTGTCGTCATTGGCAAACCTTCTGCAGCTCTGGCAGAGAAGCTCGAGAAGGATGAAAAGGCTCGCCTTGCTACTCAGCGGGAGACGCTGGGTCCAGATGGTCTTATCAATGCAGAGCGGGTGTTGGAAGCTGCAAAAGCTGAACATGAGAAGCCAATACCGACTGACGTTTTGACGTCGTTCCCTGTTCCGGATGTGAAGAGCATTTCCTGGATACCTGTTCAGTGCGTTCAAGAGCCTGGAAAAGGGCGGTCAAGTGCTGTGCAGAATTCTGGACAGTCTCAGCTTTCCAAGCACATCCAGTCTGATGGGTCGCCACTTTCTATGTTCGTACAATACGACCATGTCAAGGTAAAGGCTTCATAATCTCCTTTTGATCCTGACGCTCAAGACTGTCCAGTCCGACTTCGTTGCTGTCCATGCTTTCTTCTCGTTGGCTAAGTTGCCTAATAGGCTACGGCCCTACCTCTCGACTTATCTCTCCGTATTTTTCTCGCTCCCTGTGCAACGCGCTTCAGGAGAGGTACTCAGCCATGAAGAGGTTGTCAACCAGCTCGACGATGGCACAGTCTCGTATGAGGCTGTTCTCGGTATATCTGACCAATTTTCCGAATTAATGCGCGTCAGCTTCAAGGTCGAGACATCCCAGTACGAATCAGCCATCGCATGGTTACGTGATCTCGTATACAATTCGATATTTGACAAGGAAAGGTAGAATCTCGTGGTATCCGTCTAGTTTTTATGTCTCATGCGGTGTAGACTGCAAATTTCTGCTGCCAAGCTGGCGCAGTCGCTTCCGGAACTCAAGCGTGATGGAAACAATGTTCTGTCCTCTGTATGGGCCGAGATGCTTTACGATAAGAGCTCGACATCGCTCGCTGGCGCCATCCTTCCCCAATCAGAATTTGTGCCGAAACTTATCCAGAACCTTCAAGAGGATCCTGATACAGTGGTCGCGGACTTTGAGGAACTGAGGAAATACCGTACGTATCATGAAAGCATGACATGGAATTCATTCACAACATGACCAGTGACGGATCCCACTGGAGTACGGATATCAGTCACGGGTAACGTTTTGGACATACCCAAGCCAAAGAGCGTTTGGTCTAAACACTTTGGGGACCTTCTACCGGTACGTGTTTCTTTATCTAGCATCGGCGGCATCATTTCATGATCACGCAGGAATCCAAACTTGCTCCGTTGAAGCTTACGAGTCACACGCTTAGTGAATTGGGTAAGAATCCTGCAACCAAGGTGCAAAGAGCTTTTGTTTTACGGCTCTGCAGCATTCTTACCGGTTCCTGTTCTTAGGCTACCGTGGTGAGCTTGCCAACGATCGAAAGCTCGTTCGTCAACCACACTACGAAAGCAATACGAGGCTTCGATCATCCTGAATTCCCCGCTCTCCGGGTAGCTCTCGAGGTTCTCAATGCCACAGAAAGCTTCCTCTGGGTAGGTGAACACATCGTGAGCGGAACCGAATTTTACTTATTACATGTGTAGCGTTCTATCCGAGGCTCAGGTCTTGCGTATGGCGCCTACATTACTGTAGATAGAGAAGCTGGCTTACTCACATTCTCCCTCTACCGGGTATGCGGCTCTTGGGCGAACGATGAACTTTTTTGCTGATGATCTTTCAGAGTTCCAACAGCCTGGAAGCGTTCAAACAAGCAAAAGAGGTCGTTAGCGGACTAGTTGATGGGACCGTGTGTTTTATGTTTTCCTGATCATAATATTTACTGATCCAAATCAAGGTGGCACTGGAGGAAACCGCTCTTGATGCAGCCAAAAGCAGCATTGTCTATGGCGTCACCAAGAATGTCGCGACGGCTGGCCGAGCTGTACGTGTGTTTATTCGAGCTTAAATCATGCTAACAGTGGTCATAGGCTATCAACTCCTTTACTAACCAAGCTCTTAGAGGAGTTCCCCAAGACCACAGCCTGCAGATGCTAGAGAAGTACCAGGAAGTGACGAAGGCTGATGTACTTGCTGCCCTGGAGAAGCATATTTTGCCTGTGTTCGACTCGAAGCGATCTATGGTAACAGTGGTCACCGCACCTTCCAAGGCGGACGAGATTGCGGCCGGATTGACTGGTTATGGCTTCGAAGTTGAGAAACGGACGTTGGAGGTCGAAGCCGACGAGGATGGGAGTGGAAGTGAGAGCGATGGTGATAGTGAGAGCGACTCAGGACGATGAACGATAATTATACGATGAATCTACACAACATCCCTACTTACTCCCGTACTCTGGCCAATGATATCATTACTATTCTAGGACAGTCATCTGGGACTTCGGATCTGAGAGAGCGTTTTGAAGTTGGGGTCCAGTGCTGCCCAGTACTTCAATCATTTTCTGCTGCGCCTCGCCTGGCTTCATCTCTACTCCTCGCAGAAAGTCGTTGTCAACCAAAAATCGAACCGCTTGAGACAGGTTTGATACGGTGATGCGAATTTCAGGAAGAAGCAACTAATGAAATATATCAACTCGCAGTCCAACAGATAATGGACACAAGCACTACGTACACTCCTAAGCAAGGTAGGTCGTGACGCAAATGGATTTCGCGGCGGGGGCTTGGGTTGAGGTTGAGGTGGCCTTTTTATGGGTTTGGGTGGCGCTTGTGATTGCAGTTCTTGCTTGAGCTGTGGTGTTGAGACCAAGACTGCCTCTGCAGCTGGAGGACGCTTAGAAGACACAACTTCGGGAGCACCATCATCCGAACTAGAGTCTAGATCAGATCTATCCTGTTGTTCCGTAGGAATTGATGAGGAAAGAGGTGCTGCTTGGGGTTTCATCGGTGATGATGTATCTGGAGTCCTCGAGACAATGAAACTAGTGTGACTGCCACGACCCATTCCTCTACCCCTCCCTCGACCCCTTGGTTGCTGACCCCGAAATGACGAATCATCTCTTCTCCGCTTCCTTCTCGCTTGTAAGCCAATGTCTTCAGGTGTCAACTGGCCTCTCGCGATGGCTTCCTGAAACTTCCTCTTCTTGTCTTCCACCTTCTGTGTAGTAGGAAACCGGTTCTTGCGCTCTGCTATCCAACCATCGATCGCCTCTTGGGAGTCGAGGATTAAAGATGTTCCCTGAATCGCAATAGGTTTGCTAAGCTATGAATTAATTCAAAGTCACCAGGTAGACGGAATTCAAGTGAAACCTACCCTTTTAGACTTGGGTCGGTATCCCATTCGTCTTTTTTCTGCCATCCAGGGGGAAAGATAAAGTGGCGGTCCATCATATGTATCTCAACTGATTTCTTAGAACCAGTAAACACACAACCTTGACGAGTACAACGACAGTTTCCATGCTGGTACCAACTAGCATGCGCTTGGCCACTGGTGGAGTCTGGCCTTCTATCGTTAGTCCGCGCAGGGACATTATTGCTAGCTTCACGGGATACATTTCGCGGAGCACTTCCACCGATGGTGTGTTGAAGCATGTAAGTCGACGATAGGGTATATCCTTGCGCATTTATCGGAGGCTGCATAGCCTGCATATATGCCTGATAATAATGAGGAGACATTCCATGCTGAGCATACGGGTTAGCCAATGCCGCTGTTATGGCGTTTCCGGCCATCGCAACCTGGGAGGATGCATATGCGTACGCAGAATGCTCAGCATCCTCGTGCTGGTGTGCATTCTGAGGGTGACGAGACGAGCCAGCTTCGAATTGCCGGTGAGGTAGAGGAATCATGACAATCGATTCAGACTTATCACAAAAATTCAAAATCAAAGCGCGTTTTGCGCCCACGTGATCACAGTCTAACCGCTTCGGCCAAAGCCGGACGTTTTGACTTTTCCTTCCAAGTTGTAAAACGTTGCCTTTGCAAATCATGTCTTTCACTCGCCTTGCCCTTTGCAGCGTGACTCGCGCACGACCCGTGCTTGCGTCGTCCTCGAGACAGACCTGGGTATTTCGTGCGAACTACTCGGCAGCAGCAGGGTTGTCGAAGGAAACCATACAGACACGGGTACTGGACGTACTAAAGGGCTTCGAGAAAGTGGACGCAGCCAAGGTCTGAATGTTTTCTCCGATGACACCTTTTTTCCTGTTAACAGCAGTCTGTATTAGCTCACAACTTCGTCTTCATTCACGGATCATCTCGGGCTTGACAGCTTAGACGCGGTTGAGGTGGTTATGGCGGTTGAGGAGGTGCGTGGCCACGTCTATATTCACAGAGAATTCCATCAACACGTACTTCAACAGGAGTTTGCCATTGAGATTCCGGATGCGGAAGCCGATGAGATAAAAACCGTACAGCAAGGTGCGCTTCCGTTGCCCATTGTATACGGGCCGTCTACTAACTCTTTGTAAACGTCCCTTAGCTATTGACTATATTGCAAAGACACCAGAAGGTCAGGACATCATTTATCTTTGCAATGTATTTACTGACCTTCTTTGTAGCTCAGTGAGGGATTGGTAGCACAGTCATTAGCCAGCTCCTCTACGCGGCCCCACTCATTTATACAACTGCATTTTTTTCTATAACCGAATGAAACAATGTTGTGAAGCAATGTTGTCTGCACGTCGATTGACTTGTGATCAACATGTTTGATGATGACTGGTATCAACAACTGTCAAACGTATTGTTACTGTTATGCATGGACAGGGAGCTTCCGGTATGTAACCATATTTTCTGTCAGTGATGTGTAACATCCCCCATGCATTTGTCATGTTTATATGTAAGCACACTTAGGCGCCACCCAATCCTCAGAACGGAACATGTAGGGAAGAGTCCGGGTCTTGTTAGTGTGAATGACGTGAGGGTGTCAGGATTGAAGGAACCGAGGAAGATCCGAGTAATAAAAGGGTACCAGAAACCGTTCTCAAGTGCTCTCGCCTACTTATCAAAGGTTCGAGTTCGGCTGAGTGTTCGTAACTTCCAACATGTTATCCACATCTACATACCACATCCACATCACCTATTTTCCCGTGCGAGCACGATGTGAACCAGTGCTACTCATTCTCGCAGATTCGGGAACCCAGTTTGAGTACGAAGAAATTCCCCAGGTGAAGTGGGTAGAAATGAAGAAGGCAGGCCAAGTTACACCTGCGATGTTTCCATACGGTGGCGTACCTATTCTCCGAGTAACAGACAAAAGCTCCAAACAAAGAAGCGAATTTCTGCTTGGAGAGACTTCAGCTATCCTGTCTTACCTTGAGGAGATCGTGACACTGCCAGGAACTACGGTAAGTCTTATGCGTCCCTGAATAAACTGCACCAGCGCTAAAGCATCGATCATCTGACAGTTGAATAAAGACCTCCCACTCCAAACCCGTGCACGCACACAGATGATCAAGGAAGCATCTTTGTTCTTCACCAACAGAGTATGGGGATTGAGTGTGGAAGAGGTGATTAAAGTCACTGTGATGAGAAGTGAGCTGAGAAATAAAACCACAGGATTGGCTAGCACCACCATCACGAGATAAGATTTGGAAAGCCATCACCGTGCGATACCTGCGCAACACAGAAGCTGCACTCGGAGAACTGCAGAAGGAGATGAGAGTAGTGCCAGAAGAGATGGGCCCACTGACTGCGCTTCATGCAACAGTGGCAGCAGCCATCACATTTATAACGCAAGTGTTTCCATCTGTCAAGCGGGGGCTGGTACCTGGAGGGAATTTTCCGTTGTGCGGGCAATTATGGATAGCAGTCATGACTCGCCCAAGAATTGTTGCATATTGGAAGGAACATGCGATCGCCGAGAAGGCATGGACGATAACGGAGTACGGGACAGCAGAGTGGATTGCAAGGGAAGCAGCAAAGTATGACTCGCCGAGCTTGCTGGCCAAGTTATGACAGTATCAATGGATTCCTCAACTAACGTTGAACGTCCTATTATCAGATTCGCCGAGTCCACTACGCACATGTTTATAGGAGACCTACTGGACGCGTATCTTAATGTATCCCGCTAACGTAATTGTGTATCCCGCCTCAGCAAATGATTCCGTCGCTATGGCATAAAGTGCCCCACGGGCCAAGCGGGAGTATTTTATTATCAGAATATTATACCTGGAACATAGCTGGTGATGGAGCCTGCGAGAGAGAAAGAGCATGATGACCGACGTGCACTATAGTTCCTTGATTAATTTTTAGCAAACGTTCAAGTCTGTGATGAACGTTTAAACAAAGTTTCATTCGAAAGCTCGGAGATTGCCGAAAGGAACTGCATAGTTCTGGTCACAGTGGCTGAGACTTGCAAGTTCCCACATTCGACAACGACCTCAAGACCTTCAAGGTAAGAATCCTATCCGCCGTGTAGACGCTCCTGAACACGTATTTCTATCCCCTAGGTGAGCACGGAATATTCATGTCGCTAATTTCAAAGCTGAATCCGGCGCGTTTTGATAGACTTTGTAATGGCCACCTTCTCATCGACACCCATCGTTATTGATGGCAAGGGTCACCTCCTTGGTCGACTGGCCTCAATAATCTCCAAGCAGATTCTCTCTGGCCAGAAGATTGTTGTCGTGAGGTGTGAGGAGATCAACATCTCCGGCAGCTTCTTCCGCAACAAGGTATTTGGTCATTTCATTAAATTAGTCAATGAACGAGACGCATACACTTAAACATCTAGCTACGCTACCACAACTTCCTCCACAAACGCCATATTGTCAACCCCAGGAAATCTGGACCTTTCCATCACCGTGCTCCTTCCAAAATTCTGTTCCGTGCTATTCGTGGTATGATTCCCCACAAGACTCCTCGGGGTGCCACCGCTCTTGAGCGCTTGAAGCTCTTCGAAGGTGTTCCACCACCATACGACCACAAAAAGCGGATGGTTGTTCCTGAGGCTTTGCGTGTGTTGCGGTTGAAGCCCGGCCGGAAATACTGTACTGTTAAGGTGGGCTCAGTCGTTCAGTCGTATGACTTGGATGATAAACAGGGTGTGATTTAGCGTCTGTCGCACGAGGTTGGCTGGGGCTACAAGGATGTTGTGGACCGTCTTGAGGAGAAGAGGAAGATCAAGGCTGAGGCCTTCCACCAGCGCAAGGTACGTGAACTGGGCAAGCTTCATTGAACAAGACTGACTCAGACATAATGCATAGATTACAGCACTGAAGTTGCGCCAAAAGGCAGTTTCGGATGCGTCGCCATCCTTTGAGAAACTGACGACGCTGGGGTACTAGTTGGATGAGAGACTACTTCATCTTCTATGTGCTTGCGTTACTTTATGTTATGATGGTTCCCATAAGACATGCATGTAACTATGCGATCTCTGCTGAGCTGGCGTTTTTTTATGACGATGATCCTCCACCAAAAACACTTGCAACAGAGATGTAGTTTTAGGCATGCATATGATACAAATTGAAGGATAATAATTGACTTTGACAACAGTTTGGGAGAGACGACCTTGAACGTCATAATGAGATGTGGCTGTGTGATCGGACGGTAGCGGCACCGAAAAAGGTATCGACGACGGTGGCAAGTTTTGTTAATAAGTTTCGTTTCTTTGCATCTTAACCTCCATCATCATCATTTAAATAAGTTCGGTTTCCTCATCTCCACCCCCTTTCACTTCTCTCTCCCCCCTTTCTTTCAGCTCACAATGTCTGCTGAGTCTCCAGTTCGACACGCCTCTGGTAATCTCATCTTTTTATCTAGGGGTGATCTTTACAACTCATATTTGAATGTCACATCAGTTTCTCCCCCAGGATCACGTTCATCTTCTCCAGATAATGCTCATGACACATTGACTCTTCGTGCTCTTGTTAACACAAAGGAAGCTGGCGTAATCATAGGCAAAGGCGGGAAAAATGTCGCTGATCTTCGTGAGCAGACTGGCGTCAGAGCTGGCGTCAGTAAGGTTATCCCTGGCGTGCACGAGCGCGTCCTTACCGTTGGCGGATCTGTTGAAGCCGTTGCAAAGGCAAGTCAACACAAATATATACTCGATTTAGCGCTCACACGTTGTGGCTCATGTTTCAGGCGTACAACCTCATAATCTCCCAACTTGTGGCATCCAGCCCATCACCCATCTCCCTGTCATCATCATCGCCTCATACCTCAATCCGTCTTTTAATTTCTCACAATCTTATGGGTACAATAATAGGCCGCAGCGGTGGCAAAATCAAGGCTATTCAGGATGCTTCGGGCGCGCGCATGGTGGCGTCAAAGGAGATGCTCCCACAATCAACTGAGCGCATTGTCGAGGTACAAGGCGCACCTGATTCGATCGGCCGTGCCATCGAGGAGATTGGCAAGTGCTTACTGGAAGATTGGGAGAGGGGTCAGGGCACCGTTCCATTCCATCCTGGCGCTGGTGATGCCACCTCAGGTACGAGACGATCAGCTAATGGATATTCGGCTGGAGCTCGCAAGTCCAATGGAGATGTAGCCCGACGTTCACCACCACCTTCGCCCCATTCGCCTACCGTTGCACAGTCAACAGCCAATTTGCGTACACAGAACATCTCCATACCATCGGATATGGTTGGATGTATCATCGGTCGAAGTGGAAGCAAGATTACTGAAATTCGGCGGTTGTCAGGATCCAAGATTTCCATTGCCAAAGCTCCACACGACGAGACAGGCGAACGGATGTTTACCATCGTCGGTACTCCGGAGGCCAACGAAAAGGCCCTTTTCCTGCTCTATAATCAGCTCGAGAGCGAGAAGGAGAGGAGGGTCGGCAGAGAACAGCAGCAGCAAGAGGAGTAATTTGGCATACACACAATTCGGTGTCTGTTTTCGTATTGGAGACTGCTCAAAACTTGAACCTGCGTCTCTATTCGCACACGCGTACCATATGTATCATGTCCCGTCACCTCGCCACTTCTTGTCTTGCTGTTGTCGGCATACTGTCTCAGCCATACTCTGTTTCGTGCATCGTCTCACGCCATCGGTACAACGTGCTGATACTGTCCTCTTACCCGCCTGTGCATTCGTCTCCTTCCGTCCAAAACCCTTACACGTGTTCATATCTTTCTCTCGCCTTCTCCCTTCGCCTTCTTGCCTCGCTCTCATGCTTGTGTTTGCCCTCTTCCCCTCTCGTAAAAACTCGTCGCTCCCACTGTCATGCGTTACATACAGCATATTGTAGTACACATACTCACGGACGATAAATCTATGCACGTATAAGTACCTGCTGTTATACATACATATTGTTGTTCATTATCAGATCACGTGTAAGCAATTTTCGGTGGGTATGTACTAGGCAGCACTATTCATCGATTGCCACATCCTCTCGTGTCACTTGTTCCGAAGAATAAGTTGCGAACCTAGGCAGCCATGAAACATGGAGTAGCCTTTCGAAAATTCTCGAGGACATCCTCGCATCGGAATTTAATGCTACGGTGGGCAAACCAGTTCATTTTGGTTACGCTGGCGTTGAAAATACCATAGGAATCTTGTGACTTCCCTCTTCGAACACGAGCAAATTAGAACAACATTACCCAAGGCCAAAGACACTGCCAGGTTGGCAGAGAAGGCAAGACCATATTTTTATCTCTTGCAGTCCGCTCACGCGTCAATAGATCATTACGCTAGGGAAGAAGAACAACGAGACTTCGTATCGCCAGGCTCAAGCATTCATCTTGAAACCTCCTGTCCTCCCTAAGCTTTTCACTACCTTTGCCGAGCGTTATGCAAACAGGCCAGGGGGCTATACGCGGATCCATAGGCTCGATAATCGATTCGGAGACAATGCACCCATTGCTCTCCTTGAGCTCGTCGACAATCCCCATGACTTCAAATTGGAGATGACTGCACGCGCAGTAGGGCGGGAACTCTTGAATGAAAAGCTTCGGTGGGACTCACCCCGCGGCGTCGTCAACAGCGGTGTTCAAAACGCAGATATTACCGTTGCAAAAGAGCTGAACTTGGGCGGACTTGACAGCGGTGAACTGCGGCCAACGACGAGACGTAATCTTCAAAAAGTCATGAAATATCGAGGACGAGAGGCATTAACAGAAATAGGTGCCAAGGCTTCAGCTTATATTGTAAGATCTCAATTGTTGTCACTGTTCTTCATCCTGATTATATGCGAACACGCAGGAAACCATTTTGGCCAAGCCGGTCGCCGAAGCCAAAATGCAACTTCGAGCTGACTCCAAGGAGAAGGAGAAAGCTCGGAAACGAGGGAACCCCAACTTTGTGGGCAGCTTCCCAGTTTTGCCAGCCCGTGCAGGTGTTGCATTACCTGGAGAGACTCGGCCTGCTATGCGGCTCGTTCAAGGGGCACTCGGTCGGCCCGCTCGTTGGAAGGGCAGGCGTGCACTGGCATAATATATACCTCATGCATGTTTGATTACAATCTTAGGTTCTAATTCATGCATAATATTCGAGCTTGAGTACAACTCTTCAGTCTGCTCCAGATAGTCTGATGCGTGTTCATCTTGTGTGGCATAAGTGGTATGTGATCTTCACCATAATTGTAAGGACTCCTTATCCTTTACGCCGCAAACTAACACTTCTGATCAAAGGCGCAAGCCATTTCCGAGTATCGTTGGTGCGCGGAGATTCTACCTTTCACATTCGAGACACGTGCATGACTTTGCATAACGTTTCACACTTTCACATTTCACATTTTCACATACATCATGTGTCACGCCTCGTTGCACATTCTCAGAGATGGGCCATGGGCCTCAGCGCTCAGCTTTGTCTCCGTTCGCCTCACTCCTTCGTTCACGTATTCTCAGCTTGGCTATTGAACCACTCACGAAAGTATATAGTCCAGGTATGGACCCTTGTAATCGATAGCAGAATCACTTAGTGCTTTCTTTGCTCCAAGCAGACTTGGATCCGATGACTCCCAAGAGTCTCTGCCTCACTTCGTAAACCGCACTTAGTGCCTTCAAACGCGCCTCCTCTGTCTTCTCGTACTGATCATCATATATCTTCGAACTCATTGCCGGCCCTACACAATTGACATGCTGTGCACGATGCATAAAGTCGTGCGTGTCGTATTCACGTTGAACCGTATGTTTGGTACTCAGTGGCCTTTCATTCGCATGGTATTCTCTCCATGTAGTATTAGGCCAGCGTCCCGCACCCGTATCCAAATGCCCAATAGTTCGTACAGCAATGCACTGTGGAAACGCAGACAACTGCATAAACATAGATGGCTGCATGGTTTCAAGCTTCATCGCTACCAGCTAAGCAATTCATATACGATCACCGTGACGACAGCACTTTTAGGTAGCTGACTTTTTCGTCAAATACCACGACTTCAATATAATGACTCGTGAACAATACTAAAGACGTATCAGGAAAGAATTGCTAACAATACAGGACTGTCAGACGCTTTACTTACTAATGCACTCAGTCATCAACTTGACATCATCTCGTCGTCTCCCAACCCACCGGCCCTTCATGTGAAAGCACACACCAGCTCATCATCTTTGCCAGCATGAGCGAATGCATTAGTGGATGCTATTGCTCATGACTCTCACTAAGGTCATTCGACCTTATCCCATACTGTATGCTACGTTTGGATTGGACAGTTTTGTCTTATACTCCCCTTCATTGAAAGCCCATTGCTATCTCTGCTTACTCACATACTCTCCAAACGCACTGCAGCTGATCATACTCTCGCGCTGCCTCTTTATGACTTGCATGCGCCACCGGATCATCCTTACGTGCGGACGCCGTACGCATACTCAGCGCTGGTACAGCTCTATGCGAGATCACGCCAACTGGACTCTGCGAGTGTGCGATTTGCCCGTATGGGAAGCATATCACCATGGTGCCAGTTCGGGTGTGAGTGTCTGGAAACGCCACATCATCTATTTGCCAAGTGTCGTCGTTTCGCAGAAACGCGCAACAAGTCGTCGCAGGAAGTGGTTGATATAATTTTCATGCTTCTCTGTGAAGCAAAACCCACTGTTCGAACAACGGATGTTTATCTACACTCCGCACGGCGCTTGTTCGTGGACGGCGCTTCGGTGTGGCCCTTGCACGAGACTCGCTATCACTTGGGAACTGTACCTGCGATTCAACCAGCAGATCAGATAACCACTGTTGGCGACAAAAATAGCGCACGCGTGGCACGTTGCAAGTATTCGTTTGGCAGGGCAAATCTGGGGGATGTACAAGCGTATTACGAATCCAGTGGTCGAAAAGGCTGAGCGTGTGTGTGATTTGCCTATACATTTGCGGCATTTGCAAGTCACATTCATAATGGCTATGATCATGTGTATTTCGAAGAGCTGACGAGGCACATCTTTATGTAGTACCTGAGTTACATCAGTGACAGTAGCGTAGTCACCCAATTTATTTATCGTTTATCGTTTATGACTGAGCTTCGGAGCTCCGTCGGAACTTCTGGAAGGCGGCGAGGAGAACCGAGTTTCCACAAACACTTTTTCAACACCTATGTGTTTGTCAAAAGCGGCTTCCAACGGTACGGGATGAGAGATTATACTGAAAAACTAGGTGAAGTGAACCGCCTGAAGCAGGACGAAGAAACGCACAGTTTGCGGTCGAATTTGCCCGTCATGATGTTCCACCCATCTTCCTCAGACATGATCATCATCTCGTTTGCAGTCTCGGGAATATCAGTCTCAAGCATGAGCATCTCTATCCATCTGTGAGGTAAGGTCCTCGGCTCGTGGTATGTACCTGAGAACTGTTTCAAACGATATAAGTGGATGTGTTTGCGACGGGCTCACTACAGTCGAGTGCGACGTCAAGTCCTCCGGAGAATTATTTCATGGACCTTCTGACTAACGTCCTTGACCTTATCAAAGTCGATAAATTCGCAACCCTGCTCCTTTGCACGCTCCAGACGCTCTGGGACTTGGTCTATTATAGCGATGCTGCGAGATGCTCCCTTCAATCTTGCTTAGCGAACGCAGCATTGTCCAATGGGACCAAGACCTGCTCGGAGTTAGGTTGGAAACTCGACAATGTAAATACATTAAACCATATTCTGGGTCTTCTGACGGTGTCACCTTCCTGCACCCAAAATATCGCCCTTCTCAGGGGTTATGATCTCCCTGTGGTAGATGTAAATCTGGTTCACAAATAGTTGTGCCTGTCACTTTAACAACCAGGTCGTCCGATTCTGTGATGTCGAGGATAGGCATATCGATGATTCGAACGTCTGTCGCGCCGAATCATGCGAGGGCTTTCATAGTAGTTGAGCCATCTTCGTGAAGTTTGTATTCCAGTTGTACGACAGTAGGCAACTTTGCAAATTGCTTGGCATATATTCATCAGCAAACGTAGATGAGCCTATCCCACGCAGACTCACCAACTGTATTATGCTGGCGGTAACTTGCATGTTGTGTCAGGAGGTAGAAAGGCATGTTCAGGAGATGGTTTGTTGTAAATACGTGTCCTTGGTCATGATGCAATGGACTTCATACATATGACACTGGCTATGATCATTCTCACGCGACAGTCCGAGCGTTCAGCACGTATAGCCCGTGACATTATGATGGGGAGATTATCATGTCCGGCAAATACCATGCATGTTGCAGTGCACCTGGACCATCGGCGTGTTAATCCGGCCGACATCTCCACTTTATCTCAAGCCACTGAAAAACTTCACGCACTGATTTGTACAGAGCCTGAAATACAGCATTCACATCTATATCCCTGCCCAAAAGATCCGTAAAATTCCACTCGCCGTTGTCGAACCGGAGCAGGTTGATTACCCTTAATATGTCATCAACACAATGTCGATTGCACAATTTGGAAGGATGACAACAATAAACATTTGATTGCTTATCATCCTACGGCGTGAATTTCAATTGCAAGATGAGGTGTGTACCAGCAACAATAAAGAAATAAATTTACGTTACAAGATTACGTGCAAATGCTGATTGGTATCGTATGAAGGCTTCTGCCCCTCAGGGTATAGTATCTCATCAAAAGGGCTTGCTTCACTGGTTATTAGAGGTAAGACCGAATAATTGACAGGGGATATGGTAATTACTTACAGCATCGTTCCAAACATTGAACCGATAATCCCGCCATACTCGGTCAACGGTGACGCCGCTGGCGGCCGAACCCGTGGACCCACGTAAAGAAGCCCATGAGGGTGGGCTAGCAGCAAATAGATGCGATATTTCGCACTGAATATCTCGCCAGCTCCGTGCACTGTATACAATACATATGAGAAACGAACGATAGACTTGCCGTGCATACACACCTCACGTTGGCAACCTTGGAATGTGATTTGAGAGCATATTTATACATGGAACCAGCCTCGAGGACTAGGGTGAGGCTTTCTCCAGGGTGTAGCAGAACAACTGCGCTAGTGTTCCGGCCATAATCACGCAGTAACTGGATCGTTGCGCAGTCATGGGTATCGTTCGTGAAGTCGAGTAGGACTTCGTATGATTGTGTAATTGCAGGCATATTGTGATGGCGTTAGAAACGGAAAGTTACGGGAGCTCAGGTTTGTGTCGATAAGTAGAAGTCTTTGGGGATGGGGAGTGGAAAAAGACGAAAGGAGGACCAGACAGAATAGCAATATTAATTGACTTGAGGATGACACGCGAAGACACTTCACTCGGAGAAGCGTTGATGCGCTGGCCTCTTTTGTTTGCCTTACGGCACGCGGTATAGTCGTGCCCAAACACTGCCGCAGTGTTTAGACGTCGAATTTGAACTATCAAAAGATCAGGGCAACAAAAGCACGGTCCTGAATGAAGAGATGTAAGTTACGGTGAGTTTATGTGGCCTGGGTAGCATGAAGTTCCTGAAGTAAGGCAACGGTGACTCAAGAACAAATAAGTAGAGTCAGGCGTGTTGCCACGTTTTGCTTGTTTTATTGTCCTCGTGCGGAGGAATTGCGCAGGTATTGCGGCCTCCGATGCCTTGCGAACATGCCAGTCCAGGATCGGAAGCAGGGAAGGACAGATCCATGCTTAAGTGGTGAGGCTTGCGGATTGATGGATCGTTTTCCCTCCAAATGTCAAGCTCGGGATAATCTGCTGATCAACTTGGCTCACACCTTTTTCAGCAATTTATAATCACCTTAGTACTAGGACTAGTACGGTAACCAATGTTAATTCCCTTCGAAACTTTTTTACATATTTCAATGGTACTAATGAGCTTAGTTCAATTTCAGCCTTCCTACATCTTGGAAACCCTCATAATATGTCGACAAAAGGTCTTTCTATACGAGACTTACCTTACGACGTTCGTTTCCTCATCTATGAAGCCATCTTGGCTAATCACCTGTGTGTGAATCAAAATCGGCAACCCTCCAATAACCATATTCGTGTCCTTCATACCTGCAGGCAGATCTTCTATGAAGCACGCGCAATATTCCATAAGTATGTCTCCCTGCGAAACGATTGGGACGTGGATCACTACCTCGCTTATCTGGATTCCGAGCCCAAAGCTGCGCCCATAGTCCGTTGGGCCGATGTTGCCAACGATGGACGTGTCTCGGAGAGCATGCATGGTCAGGTATGTAACATTCTCTTCTTCTGCCTTGAATAGGGGGTCGTTAAATTAGCTATGTCGTCATTGACTAGACTGGCCCAGCCTCCCGGTTGTATCTTGTATTAGCAAAGTTCGTATCGCTCGAGAAAATACGAGTATTCAATGTTCGTCATTATCATCCCCACATGATATCCTGTAGGTGAGGCGCTAATAATATTACCTGCTGGTCTCAATACTCAATCCAGTACCATACCCAAGGTATCGGTTGAACTTCGAGGGTGCCATGTTTCCTGCCGCAAAAGGTCCCCAGCCCCTCTTGCAGGCATACGAACTTCACCTGGATCCATCCACAAGGGCGAATCCTTTCCAAACGATTCCTTCGAACCACATTCGTTCGCTGCGTTTATCAGGAGATTGTCGTTTCGAGAAAACACCTTTTCCCGCCCTGCGCCATCTCACCATTCGGGGCGTCACAAGCAATGCCTTTGACCAGATACGCTTCGACACTAGTTTTCCCAACTGTCAACTCGATTCCTTCATCCATGCACAAGGTCATCGACTTGGTTTCGAAATCAGAAATGTTCATCTGGAATCCCTCCTCGCGGGGCCCGGGTCATGCCTTCGTAAACTCGTCCTATTGGGCAGTAGCCGGCTCTCGAGTGCAACCATCGCTTCATGCCTCCGCAGTTTGCCCACGTTAGAGTACTTTGCTCTCTCATTGGTGACTGTCAACGAGCTGCGTGAAAACTTTATTCTAGCTCTGGGTCCCTCGCTCCAAGTGCTCAAGTTACAAATAACTCATGCGTGGTATGCTCTACCCCTATTTGAAGAAGAGCGAGTTATTTGTGATACGATAGAGGAGAGAATTCTGCTTCGGCACTTGCCCCATCAAGTGGTGCATGTCTCATTTCATAGTCAGTTAATGACCGAGCATGGCCGACAAGATAGGTGGAGGAACATTGCCGCTGCACAGCACATATCACTAAAGATAGGACCCTGGGAAGACGAGGAGGAAACATAATTTTGGAAGTGGAGCAAGAGATACCACGTCTAATATATAGTCGTAGAAATAGATCAGTCCATGTAGAGGAATGTTCGTTATAGAGGTATATCACAAACTTCACACAAACGTTCATGGGGGAGGAATACTACATATTCCGTAAGAAATCCACAAAGCAATGATGGAATCAGAGAATTTCCTTCTGCTACAAGAATGTGGTGGTTTTGACCATCTGTGGCGTTGGGCGACCGAAGAACCCTTAAGCTAGTAAAAAGGAATCAGCTTATAATGATAACGCTATTCGGGAGAACTGACAAACCCGCTCATTCAAGTCGACCACAGATGGCGATTGTGATGAGCGACCTAGGAATCAATACACACCGGGGTGAGCCTGTGTGGGTGCAGATTGCCCAGCCGGACTATCAGGGCCGTAGTAGTTATTAGCATATGGTGCAGGCTGAGGGCTCTGCATGCTTAAAGGGGCAGTTCGCGTCGATTGCTGCCGCTCAAATTGCGGCTGCGGTTCGGGGGGATAGGTCGGCGTGAGATAAGATTGACCATCGGCGTATCTTTCTTTCTGTAATGGAGCATTCATGGTTGATGCCGTACTTGCATTTCGCATATGACCGCGGCCGTCCTCGTACTCGGTAGATGCTCTGTAATCCCAAGGATCACCACGATCAGACATCGGAATATTATCCGTCAGTGGTTTTGTGGTATCATTGAGAGCGTCGTACTTCTCATAATCCCGTCTTTGGGCGGCCCCGTAAGATGAAACAACAAAGAGCAGATATGCCTGTGGAGCAACGATCAGCTGTGTACTGGAGTATCAGATGGTAGGTAAGCTACCTGCACAAGGGCAAAGAAAACCCAAGCACCGACCATCAACCCAACGTCAACCCAGGTGATGATGCCGCAGACGGTTTGACCCTCGGTAGTATTGCTACCGTTGGACGCTGTAGGATAGTATTTGTTCTCGCAGTTGGTCAGAGAAGTCGAGTGACGAGTGGCTGAGAGTATGACCCACGCCGCGGCAATTGCAAAAGCGGCAAGGGTGATGAGAGAGTGAAGAGTGGCATAACGGCGGAAAAGTATGTGTTTTTCCTAACGACGCAAATTTCAGCGTCGGCAGCTACATTGAAAGAACAACATACCTGGAATACACCTAAGAAGCCGAGAACTTGAATTGCAGCGCCCACGTAGCATACTGCTGCAAGAAGCGCTGGCGCGTATGAAGGAGTTGCTGCTCCAACAACTACGCAGAGACGGGTTACATACTAATAGAAATCAGAAGTTGGAGCAACTCACTGGAAGGCGTTCCAACAGAAAGTGTGCCAATGATAATCCCAAGAGCAAATTGTTCGATCAGCGTAGTATATATACCAGCTTTGACCAAGGGGATTGCGCAACAGCAGTACTCTCTAGCTTTCATTTTCGGCAGCACAACCCGGGGACGATGAAAAATGACCTAGAAGGTAAACGCTGCTTGGTAGGATCAAGTTACCAATATTCTCTGGCTGCTTTGCACAATTGTTAATTGCCTTGGTGTTTGGTCGAGAAGAGAAAGGAAGCGAGTTACCTTGGTGCGCACCTGTGCGCAGTGACTTGCGCTCATCGCCACAGATCGCTCCGTCCTGTATAGAATTCTCCCACGCCATCCTGCCACTTTAGCTGAGCTCCGGACAAGTTCTCTATCTTCTCTCAGCTTTTGCTCGAATTACCGTTGCGTCATGGTCCATATATTCTCCGTTTCTTTGCTCGCCATGTTGGCAGGTCTTGCTTCTGCAAGTTCTCCTCCAACACAAGAAGTTATGAACCAGCCGGTGCACACAATGGAGAGTTGGTCATGGTCCGATTGTGGTGAGACCTGTTTGATAGAAGCGCACATAAGCTATATGCTAAGTTTCTTCAGGCTCCCCAGCACACGTTGTTCAGTTGAAATCAATAAGCCTCTCTCCCGACCCACCCAAGCCGGGCCAAGACTTGACTGTCACAGTCGTGGGGACTGCTCAACAACGAATTGAGGTTGGTCTTGTTAATATCACAATGTCGGAAAATCTCATGTCTATTCGCAGAATGGAGCCTATGCCGACGTTGTTGTAAAACTCGGACTCATCAAACTTCTCTCGAAGACTTTTGATGTTTGTGACGAAGCGTAAGTTGGTTGTTGTTTTTGTCCTGGATTTTGATTGAAGTCAGATATAGACGCAACGCAAATGCAACTATCCAGTGTCCAGTCGAAGAGGGTGATTACACTGTAGTCGAAACGGTTGCATTGCCAAAGGAGATTCCTCAGGGTGCGCACAAGTCTATGTCTAGTATAGTTAAGCCAGTTGCTGAATTTTTGGCAGCCAAATTCACTGTCGCTGTGAGAGGTTACACTGCAGACGAGGACGACATGTTGTGCTTGGATCTTCAAGTCAATTTCATGAAGAGCCCATTCCCAAGATTCGGGTGGTAGATTGCAGTTACCTTCATCTCACAACGATATCCTTTTGCCTGTACTACAATATTTATTATGTTTAAACTGAACTATGTATCAGTCTTGTTATCAACGTTCTGTTTTTGATAAGCTCCTAAGGCCTAAATAGTGAATTAAGTCATGTGATGAATTTTGCCGACACATCTAGCAAAGATCAAGCGCGTTTTCATCCATTCTCGCTATTCGACATCATGCCAAAGAGCTCCAAAAAGAAGAAAGAGAAGGCAGTCGACTTCTCGGTGAGTTTTCACTCATCCGACCCTTTCTATTCATTAAACTTGTCGAACAGAAAGCTAAATTGAAACTTGGTAAAGGCAAGCAGCTACCAAGCAATGCGGTGGATACTTCATTCAAAGCCCGTAGTGAGTATTTGATTTGGTTGCATTTGTGGGTCGGGATGTATCTTATGGTTCAAGGCATTGTACTTCCTACCCAGAGTATTGCTATAGAGAAGGATGCTACACTTCCTACCACCAGGAGGAAACAGTCATTCGATGACCTCGTTTCGCTCATGAAACACTACAATGCAAATACCCGGAAAGGTATGTATCATTCGTTCGCAGCGAAAAAAGCTTACTGAATTCACAGATGCCATCTTAAGCTTCCGGGAGTTGTTTGAATTGCATCCTGACATTGTAGAATCCTCAATGACCGTACTACTAGGTGCTTGTGTCCGCTTGATTGGAGATGAGGTTTGTCCAGTGACGCGTTTATGGAAATGAAATTTAAGTATCTACAGGATGCAGGCGTTCGAAAGACACTGCTTTTATTCTTGAGTTGGTTGCTACCTCTTGTTTCGAAGGTGATGTACTACATGACTTATCGTGATCACTCAAATGTTTAAGCTGTTTTTATGCAGGAGGATCTGATCCCTCATGTTCCACTGCTCATTCTTTTCACTACATCAGCCCAGACCCATATCTACCCAGAAATCAGGATCGATGCCGTGCGATTCTTAGACTTGTTTCTTGAGATAGTTCCAGAAAGCGTGGTCGATGGCTGGACCCAAGGAAACTCTGGACACGGCAAAAGAGTTTTAGAGGGATACTTAGGGATATTGAGCGCAGGAACCAAATATGGTGACACCGAAGGTAGGGGTTACAAAGGTTTTGCAAACTCATGTAACTTCTCATCCCACAAAGGTGAATTAAAGGCAACATCAACTGCTAGTGTAGTTCTTTCGTCGCAGGTATGGCTAAACCATCAAGCATGCTACAGGATCAATGCTGACATGCATTGCAGTCGAAGCTCATCATACTGAAGTCACTTTCGGCATTTCTCACTCATGCGGTATCACAACAACTGCGACTGTCAAATCATGCAACTTCTAACCTGGACCCGGCCGCAGTCCCATTACCAACATGGTTCCTCGCTCCTTCTTTCCGCTCTACTCGGCCATTCATTGCTTACCAACGACTGTTCCGACCCGAGTCGGTTGATCGTCAACCTCAGCTGGACGCCGAGCACCCTCGCGATGACTTTATATGTATGCCGAACTTCGCGACTGACCCATTAGCCACGGCTTGGTCTTTAAATGACCTTTCTGATTTATCACTTGCTCAAACTGAATCATTGACTCATCCAAATAGTAATACTTCCTCTCTCATCGTGCGTCACCGATTATTCTCATCATTCAGTCTTCCATCAACGCCACATGATCCATAGCACCTGGCTCGAACGCTGTACTCGACTTTACTAGCTTCGTATCTTGATTGCGCTCCCATTGTCTTTTCACCTAGCGCGAATCCTCCTGAAGCAGAGCTCAACCTTCTTACCGTGACGGCGCGAATCATGAAGACGCTCTATGGATCAATATTGCAAGACAGGTTCTCGTTGAGCCACGCCGAGGAGGAAACCCTTTGCGACGAGCTAAGTACCTTGCTCGGTTATATGACAGGGTACTTTCCGTTCAGGCCTGCGCGCCGAGAAATCAAGGTAATGATTCGTCAATCTGGGATAAAGATTCCCCAGCTGATTGCAATCAGGTGGAACATGCATTCCAAGATCTGAATATAATCTACTGCGAGCTCACAGCACTATTGGTTCTCGTATCCTTCCGCCGACCATCAGGAGATATGTCACGCAAAGCCCGTTTTCCAACTTCTCGATCAAACGCTTTTTTTTCTCATGTCAAATATGAGGGCAAGTTAACCTTACAAGCCGGCCTGGTCAGAACATACGTCACTAGTCTTCTGCAAGGGGAAGACCACTCTGGGGCACAGATTTCAAGGCCGCTAATCCCGACGATGTACACCGCGCTGCTACCCACGATATGGGCTCTTCTAAACCAGCCGAAGGAGAGCCACACGCGGAGTCAAGGCGAGGCCCCCATAGACACCGTATTATCCGCGATGCTTGATCAAGCGATTAAGACGACATCGAAGTCTGCTGTCAAGGCGCTCACTGTGGAGTTTATAGCTCGGATTCTTTTGGTATGTGTTTTCCCTCACCCCTCTATGAAATGAATGAGTGACATCACTCCAAGCTCGAAACAGAGTCAGACTATTGCGGTCATTTCGATGTGCGCAATACAGGGGAGCAGGAAAAATTCCGAGAATGGATATTACACCTCCCAAAGACGCTTTGGGAGATAGGTCCTCACAACCTGGCTACTTCCGAGGTAATTTTTTAAGTTGAGCTTATTGCCATTTTTTCAGCTGACCGTCCTGGTTCTAGATAGTCATCAAATCATTGTTACGTCTTCTCCAGCGTGGCTCCATCATGATCAAACATGAGGTGCGTCCTTGATCGGAACGACGGGCAATTGACGAACATATGATCCCGTTCCTTTGTGTGTTTATAGGAAATCATCGGATTGCAAACCCGCCTCACGCCCTTTTTCATGATCACGCATCCTGTTCGCGGTCGGCTTCCTGGCCCGTTCACCAAAATCCCTACTTCTTCACTACTTATCCGAAGGTTAGCGGTGGACCTTGTAGTTACGATTCTCTCAGTCTCAACGAGATCGGAGGGGGAGGAGAGAGAGAATCTTATGATCGCAGTGGGTAGTGCAGTATCAGGTACCCCCGAAGAAGGCTATTGGCAGCAACTTGTGACAGCAACAGGGCTGTCGTGAGACCTGCAAAGCGGCTATGTTTACTTTCGGCCTACAGTGGTTTTTTGCATCACATGATCAGACTGCTACCCATAACATCGTTTGAGACCGCGGGGATACTGCGCCTTCCCGTTGGCGTGATTCGGTGTCTTTGCAACGTTTTTTCAAGGGAGCCTGTCAGTCACAGCCTTTCAGCCAGACTATACCGAATGGACCAATCATATTACCTACATTCATGTGGTAATTGCAATGCTTGGACAACGGCAGCGACGCGGAAATGAAAGATCATATTCGATTAATCTGATTCCTCGATTCTAGGACCGAGGGCAGAAGTATCGGGCATGAGTGACTATTCGCCTGACTTGGAGTGTCAAAATGTAGCCTAGCGGCAGTGCGGATGCGAAAATCGATGGCGACTGATTTCGGATGCCGTGTCATAAGATGGCGTATACTTGTGACACGAGTCATTCAACAACGGGATGTACAGGTTACATAGCAGGCGTCTATATTCCACTTTATGTTACAAACTGCACAATAATAAGACCTAAACCAAAGCTAAGCCTATCAAGAAGAAAAGCGCTGCAAGACCCAAGCAAGCAACAACCACTCATTCCAACCCATCAACTAGGTAAATAGGAATCATCCAGTGATCATAAGTACATAGCACGTGTGTGTGGGGTATATGGGAATGAGTAAAATCGATAGCGATCCCAAGCTCTCTGCTAGCAGAGAGGCGGCTGGCGCGAAAGCCATCGGAAAACATATATACCTTGGAGTATTTGACTGCAAGAATAACGAATAAAACATAGAAGACGTTATGGCCATTCGGCGCGAAAGCATGAAGGCGTAACGGGAGCGAGATGTTTAGCTCCATGACCAGTCGATGTCGATGCGTCCCAACGACTCATTCGCAAGTTCGCTGAATGCAGAGGGTGAGAAGTCAAGGTCTGTAAGCGCACAGCCCGTGCACCGGTCAGTGATCGTGACTGTCACACTCTTGCCCTGGTCTGAAGATAATGTCAAAGCATGATCGTTAAGAGACAGAAGGGACTTACAGCTAGCAGTGACTTGCTGGCCGCAGACAGGGTTGTTGTTAGGGTTCACACCATTATAGCCACTAGTTCACCAAAATAAGACCTCGGCTAGGAACAGAGAGTATGATACTTACGGGTAGGCGTCGAACAACAAGTGCGAGACAGCAGCGATGTGATCACTGTCGGTGTTTGTGATACCACACGCTCCAAGACCAGTCGCGTAGTATGTGCCTACCATAAAAAATAAGCCGAGAACCAGACAATGATGATGAAAAATTTACCCTGCCCAGCATTAATGCCGCTCAGGAAGCCACCCGGCGCACCACCACTGGATGCAGAAGTAGTCTGCGCAGCCTTGCTGGTGGTACTTGAGGAAGGCGTGGGCGTGGGTGTGGGCGTAGGAGTGGGCGTAGGAGTGGGAGTAGGACTGGAAGCTTCCTGGGTTGGCTCCGAAGCAGACGAGTAATGCGAAGAGTGGGAAGAGGAGTGGGAAGGGGTGACAACAGGTGATGGAGCAACGTTAACCGGGGCGCTTGTAGCAACAGCAGACGGGGAGGTCGATAGCGAGGAAGAAGATACAGTGGAGTTACCAGATGGTTTAGGTGCGCAACGTTTGTTCAGAGAACGTTTACGTGTGGGAGCTGACGGAGTATCGACTTGACCACCAGTGACTGCCTGTACGTCAACATGAGTGAGAGCGCGACGATGGTTAAAAACATCATTGGAGATGTGAGGGGAAGTGAGGGCAGCAGCCGAGAGTACAAGGGAGAGAAAAGCAAGGCACTTCGTGATGGGGGCCATTGTAATGAGCGGGGGAGAAGACTCTTGCTGGTTCGACTAAAAGGATCGACGGGTGACTTTATAGTAGCAGTACCAGCTATTAAAAATAAAGATTGTGGACAAGAAAAGACAGCCGACAACCAGGGAAAGAACGATGAAGAAGAAGCAAGTCAAACACCAAGATAATGTGTAAAAGGCGAGAGAAGTACCTTGAGTTAATATACATCCCACATATTATATTAAGTAATCATTTTAACAAAAAGGTTATGTATTTTTTTCTAGGTATCCACCCTGACCTAAAAAACTTATTGCCGGTCACAACCACCCTATTTTTGTCAGGTACCAACAATGACAAGGTCACGCTTGTAATGCCCTAAACAATGGCATGTAACCTCGCATTGTTCTCAAACGCTAATCCATTATTGGTCTAGCCCCTGTACAATACAAGGAAATTTATACACCGGAGCTAGCTTTGGCTGCATACATCTTCACTAATCCCGCACCTGCAATGCCCTCAAGACTCTTCGCGTAAGCATCCACCTGTCCTAGTAAGAGCATGCTCTCCAACCGGCTCGGCTCAGGCGGGATCCTGAACAACCTGCTTACATCTTCTTCAGGCAGGGCGTTCAATCCCTGCGCCACCCGCCGCGCATTCTCCTCTTTCCGTTTCGCAACATACGTCTCCGCACGAAGCTTCTCCCGTGCGATTTGCCTCGACAAATACGCGACATTGCCTTCTTCTGTCCGGTAATTATCGATCGCTTCGGCGACTTGTTCCAGATTCTTCGTCAGTCCCACATTGCCTATATCAAGCACTGAATAGGACGGAGGTAACGCTGACGTCGTTGCCACCCCCGGATGAGCATCCGAAAACGTTGAAGTCGAGGGAATCGCAAGCGTGTTCAAATACGAACTCAGAAGCGCATTTGTCCTAACTCTTAACGGGATCTCTTCAAGTATGGAAGAAAAAGTTAATCGATGGCTAATCAACCTATAAATCTCACTCAGTTAAATCGATCGAGGAGCGTGATCAAAACGAGAAAACATACCCGGCTGTACTAAAATTAGCTCTTCTGTAGGCATCCATGAATGCTGGCTGTCAGCTTGAATGCACGGAATGATGCATTTCCGCGTGCTGTCTGTGAGATATCTAACCTTGCTGTCAGCATGTGGCGTCTGCATGTCGAGCCACGTGACATTACCATGAACAACAACAACACCGCCATGTCTAAGCCTATCTTGGTGGATTGCTTGTGTATCTATCAGTGATTGATTGAAGAAAGCACCAAGCGAGGTTGCTTGGTAAAACCCTACGACGTTGTCGTCTCCTTGAACCTCTTTTAGCGATCGCAGCATGGATTGCTGGTAGCGGGCTACCATCAACAACGTTTTATTAGTGTTTACGATCCGTGGAGATAATAACGGGGGACCCACCAATGGATTTTGTCGCCTTTTCATCGTCGTCATTGTGATGATTCGGTAATGCAAACGAGTTGGACACCTCGAGGATGCCATCAAGATCAAGGCCTAACAGAAGCCCATGCGCGGTTGTTGAGAACGCCTCGCGACTGTGTTTCAAAATTTTGGTAATAACCTGCGATTCAAAGTCAGTATAGCATAAATAGAAGCTCGACGCGCAACTTCAAAAAGTAGAAGTAGTAGAACCGTCCATAGGTAAATGATGGGGACATAAGGGAGAGAGGATCCACAAAATTACGCACTATTCCATCAAGCTGGACGCATGTAAGAGGTATCTCAGCCTCGATGTCGATCGCCTTGGACATGGATGCAGGGATGGCTTCATACGTGGGGGCTGCAGGTGTTGGTGCGGCCTGAGGGGCGGGAAGTGAGGCAGCCAAAGCTGCAGCCATCGATGGAGCGGCCATTTTGGTTTCCTATGTAAACGATTCTGATGGTCTATGATTTGGACCGAGATGCTACTGTAGTCTTGCTTCAAACGACGGTCGACGGCAGCCGAAAAATGTTGCATAAATGAGTTTACGTAAGCAACGGTGGTGAGTTGTTCCGCCGCGGTGAACGGCTTACTAGTAGGCATTACTTAGTGCCAGCCTCTACTACTTACCACTCGATGTCCGTCTTCGGGATGTCTCGCTCAGGGAGAATAACGCTGTTGCTTATTATTGACGTTATATTCTTCTTCATTGAGCTCATTGCAGGTAAGTTGACATTCTGTAGTCTTACACTAGGATCCTCCTAAGAGAGAAACTCGCAGGTTATGCTGTTGGTTCGCTTGCCCTCGTCGCCGACAGTTTCCACATGCTGAAGTTTGGATTCCTTCAACTTACTCTGCCATGTAGCTAAAATCCCTCAACAGCGATGTGATAAGCCTTGTGGTTGCCCTCTACGCCATTAAGGTATGATGTCAATCGTTTCAGGCCATTGAATAATTCATAACCTCTCTTTTGTCTTTGAGTTGTCACAAAAAAGTGCCAACGATTCTAGATATTCTTATGGGTGGCACAGAGCCGAAATTCTCGCCGCTCTTGTCAATGGGGTTTTTCTCCTTGCACTTTGCTTCTCTATTGCGATGGAAGCCTTAGAGCGTTTCTTCAACACTCCAGGTGGGTGACTCCATATGCCATCAGAAACATTTCCTCACCATTTGCTCCCGCAGAAATTTCCAATCCTCGTTTGATTGTGATCGTAGGGTCCTTCGGTCTGGCGTCTAATATCGTTGGCCTCTTCCTCTTCCATGGTCAGTTTTGACGTCATCACCATGCTGATCGCTGCTCATACATTACCACGCCATGTTTAGAACATAGTCATGACCATAAGACCTCTCCGACCCCAACACGTTCTTCGAGCATCTCTCAGTTAGGACAAGTTGTAAACGATGATGTCACTTCCCCGAGAAAGATACCTGGACGGTCTAATAGCCATGAGCGCTCTGACTCCTATTCCTCGATGTATGGTCACCCCATTGCGACGCGTGCGTCCGTCGTGCAAGCTGCTCAGGACATAGCATCCCCTTCTCCGCACACGAGGCGATTAAGCACCTCTAGCCACGTGTTCGACGAGCGCCTCCCACTCCTCGGATCCGAAATAACCGAAGCGCCGCCTTCCAAGAGTAACACAGCCCACCATCATGGTCACGCGCATGGCTCTATGAATATGCGCGCCCTGGTATTGCATGTGTTAGGCGATGCCCTAGGGAATGTCGGAGTCATCGCTACCGGCTTGGTCATC